TGAAAAAACCTGAGCCCCTCCTCAACCAATCCTCCATGACTACACGCATTTAAAACACTCAAAAATGTCACATGATTTGGCTTCAACCCAGCCTTTTCCATGGTCTCAAAATACTCTACAGCCTGTCTTCCCAGACCATGCATTGCAAAACCTGAGATCACTGATGTCCATGATACCAAATTTTTCTTGTAAACAGATATCTCCGTAAAGAATCTGCTTGCACTTGCTATGCACCCACATTTTGCATAAGAGTCTATCAGTGAATTCATCATGCGTATATCAGAGGCATTGAAGCCTCTCTTTTCTGCATAGCCATGGATGGATTGACAAATCACAATGAACCCAAGATTTGAAATGGCTGGGAAAATGGTCAGAAGAGTCACTTTAGTTGGTTTTATGCCATCACAAACAACCATTTCCCTAAACATAGTCAATGCTTTAGTAGGCTTATTCATGCGTGTAAATCCATCCATAATAATCGTCCAGGAGACAACACTCCGAGCTGGCATTTTATTAAATAATGACAAGGCAAGGTCAAACTCACCGCATCTGATCAAACCAGTAATGTAAACATTCCAGGTAACAGTATTTTTTTCAGGCATGTTGTCAAACACTTGTGCCGCTTCAATTAAGAGACCCCAGGTTGAGTACATATGAAGTAAAGCAGTTTGAACATATAAGTGAAATTGAAAACCCACTTTGAATATGACCGAATGAATCTGGATTCCAAGGTGAATGCATTTTGAGTTGGCACAGGCATGACAGAGGAAGGCATAAGTATAGCTGTCAAAGGAACAATACCTCAGAAATGCATGGCAGTTTAGGGAAGATATACCAAACCTAACAGCTTCTTCAGGAAAGAGGCCAAGAGAGTAACAGCGAATCAGCGTGTTGAAGAGAAGCAACCAGGAAGAGGTGCAATAAAAGGGGTATAGAAGCATCCCAGAGGTGATGATATGAGAGTGGACCTGCTGGGCAGCTTGGCGGTTTGATGGGTCTTTGAGTAGAAGAGAGACCAACTGCTGTGGATGCCTAGCTCGGGGATGGGAGGAAGACACACTGGATTCAGAATAAGGATGGCGTTGAAGAATTTGGTGAGACATGGCTGCTAAACAAGTGGACACAGGGTTCCTACCCTTCAAATTTGACAGAGGAAAGAATGGTCACAAAGACTGAGTGTAACTAAGATTAATTTTGTTGATAATTGATAATCAAGGATCAACTAAAGCAAAAGGCAACTGTTGTCAACCTAATTCAGATATAACTCCTAAACAAAAGCCATAGAGTCTTTTCTGCATGCTAATGACTGCGACCAAAGTAAAAGACCTAGCTATACAAGAGAAATAATATACATTATCAACAACCAGAGTATTCATAATCATCCTAACTAAAATTCGCTAAAACCACAGCCAGCATATATTCGTTTACTGGCATAACAAGCCCTGCAATCTGTACTTCCAACAATTGCTAGTCCACAATGTGGGAAGAACCAAGCGTGAAAAAGTCTCTCGTATCGTTGTTGGATACGCATCACATCATATACCCAAAAAAAAAAAAGATCCTTTCGTAGAATTGCAAGAGTACTCAATAAAACACAGCATTTTCAACTGAACCAGAACAATTTCATGGAAAACTTACCGTAAAAGGGATTCGGCTGGATAAATAATTGCTTAGCCTATTATTTGCATCGGGCTTTCGATGTCTCCATTGCCGAAGGAGGGAAGCCAGTGAAGCTCGCATCTTCTTGGTGGTCTCTGGAAGCTCCGCATTTTGGGCATCAGAGCTTTGCCATTGATGGAGGAAAGAAGGAGTGAAGCTCGAATACGGCCAGTTACCAGTGGTCTCTGTTCTGCGTATCGTGCTAGTCTTAGAGGCAATTCGTTTCTTTAACACTACAGTGACTTCGAACAATGAACCTGCAGGGTTTATACCACCGGGAAAAAAAAAAAAAAACCTAACTTTTTGCACACTCTTAAATCCGTGTTAGAAAAAATTAATATTTTGGCCCCTACAACTGATTTAAGGCACTTTTCAGATTGATCCCGTAGGTTCAAAATTTTCAACTTGCTCTGCAATCAGTAGGCATGGAAAGGGGGACATTTAAAGCATTTGAGGAATAAGAAATCACTGAATATGGAAGAATGGAACCTTACCTCTCTTCCCTAGATCGTTATGCAGAAATGGGCGACGGTGGGCAACGGTGAAGAAGACTTGGACGAACACGACGGGCGACGTATAAAGGTTGAGGCCACTTTATCACGACTTATCACGAGCGATACGGAAACGGCAAGATGCGTGAAGGACGAAAACGGTAGGCAGTAGGCACCGGCGAGGATGGGGTTGATGACTGAGTGCCAGTAACAGGGAGAACGGCGGCTGAGTGCGGCGTGCTTGAGGGTCTTGATATTTCAAACAGAAGATAATATGTGATGTTTAATACTTTAATGTTTAATTGTTTTTTTGGTAAAAAATATTTATTTTAAGAATATTAGTTAAAATAATTACTCGTAATATGGTTTTTCTTTGGGAAAATTACACTCAGGTCCCACAGAGCATAATTAATATCAAAAAGGTCTCTCAAAATCGCGAAATGATTCTGAAATCCCCAGGGACCTGTGTATAATTAATTCTAATTGTGAAATTACCTACTTATCCCTGTTAATTTTATTGCAGTAATTCGTTTACAATCTCAACAGTGGCTGTTAACAACCCGAGAAGATGTGATTGACAACCTTGGCAGTACTCATGACAACTCACTCTGTGGAATGTTAGGAGCGTTGTTGAGGTTGTTAACCACCTCTTCTCGGGTTGTTAACAGCCACTGTTGAGGTTGTAAATAGGTTCAAATTAACAGGGATAACTACGTAATTTCACAATTAGAATTAATTACACACAGGTCCCTGGGGACTTCAGAATCATTTCAGGATTTCGAGGGACCTTTTTTATATTAATTGTGCTCTGTGGGACCTGAGTGTAATTTTCCCTTTTTCTTTTCTTCCTCCCTCTTATATGATTATTATTAAAAAAATTTAATAAATATGTGAAATAAATTTTATATATAATATGAACATTAACTTCTTAATTAGCTTATATAACACTATAATACGATCAGGAGGAATATATCATTTACTTTAGTTATTTCATAGGTATTGTAGCTGTAATTATATATGTATTAATTGTTAATTAAATTACATGTTATATAATTGGTAATTAGATTTGCCTCATAAACCTTAGATCAGCTTTGATTAAAAAGGCCTCACACTTATTTAGTAGAATACTACTTACTCTTTCTTTATAAAAATAAAAAAAGTACTTCCTCCTCTAGTTATTATAAACACATAATAATGACTTTACATAAATTAATAAAAATACTAATTAAACTTAATTATTCAATGTAAAATATCAAAATTATCCTTGATAGAATAACGGGTTCATTAGTTAAAAAGTTCTATAATAGGGATTTAGGTGGAAAAAATTAAAGTTTTAGACAAATATATTACATTAATGAAACATGTTAGACGTAGGCAGGGAGTAAATTGGCCAAGCTTCACAATAAATCTATTTTGATGGTTATCATGGTAATAAACATCAATGCATCATGATGGTGGTGCCTATTGCTGCAATAAAATCTGACTCGTTTAAATATAATTTAAATTTAAATTTTTTAAATAATAATTTGTTTTATAAAAATATGATATTTGAGAAATTATTAATTTATGTTAGATTATGTACATATTAAAATAATTTTTCAAAAGTTGAAATTAAAAAAAAAATCAATCTAGAACTTCGAAATTCCATATTTGATACCCAAATTGAATTGAATTTCAAGCAGGTCAAGTCATAGATTGCTTTGAAAGGGGCAACTATATTTTCACCCCTATTGATCAGTCTATCATCACACTTCTTACCATCATCAATTTCATCTTTGAAAAATTTAAGCAAGCAAATGGCATCAAAATCTGATGAACAAGTCAAGGGGTGAAAAAAGAGGATAACAAATCAAACCCAGTTTTGATAACTTAATCCCTAAATTGTTGAAGAACCTCAAAATTTTCAACTCAGGACTAAAATTAGACTACATATAAAATCACAACGAGGCATGTCCTCTTACAAGTTGGCATAAATGGTAAGTCTTATTTTCTATCAATTGAGCTTGATCACTAAATTTATTGGGTTGTTTTCATACTACGTTATAATTTGAATGCTACAAGTGAGAAGCAGCTTTCTTCAACTGAATGAATTAGTAAAATTTGAAAGCAACCTTTTGAGAATGTGCACATATATAAAGAAAGGATAGAGCTTGGCAAGATAAAATAATGTTAAAATGGTAAGTCAAAAGCTAGACAAAAAATTATTTATTTAGCTCTCAATTGAAATTAATTCTCGGGCAAAAAAAAAATTGAAATGAATTACTAAAGAACCAAAATCAAGTTGGTCGAGACAAAGTTGTAAATGCGTAAATTTCATGGATTAGTTGAGATTTAAAGCCGTATAATGGTGGAAAGGCTTTTGAAGATGTATTTTCTTTTAAATGTGAGTTATTGATTAACCCATAAAAGACAGAATACAAGTTTAAATTCCGAAAAACATACTTATTGAAAAAACTTTAATCTTAGCGTTCATAACTTTACATATATCAGTTTCAAGTCCAAAATGATTTAAAAAAGCTTTAAGTTTATACTAAACAAAATGCGGATGTATCTAAATCAATTTCCACTCATGGAATTTTCACAATGACTTTTAGTATGCTTATTGAAAAGTAATCCAGGAATTTTTTTGTTTGAAATGGCGGTTAGAACCAAAACTGGTTTTTTTATGGATATTTACAAAATCTAGACTAGGTACGAAAAGAGAGTTTTGTCTCGACTGTGTTTGTTTAAAATGGCGGTTTTTAATCACTGTATACAGAACACAATGCGTAGTGAGATGAAAGCTCTTTGAGTGGAAGGTCACGAGTATCATCTCATTTGTAATGTTCACTCATCAGTGTCTGCCAGATGAAGAAGAAACAGGGAGAGAAACAAGTATTCCCCGTACGGTTGTCATTAGGATTGCACAAGCCACACATGCAGGCCAAGCAGTAATAGTAGTAATACAGTAACATTGCAGAAGATCCCGTGACTCTTAAGTACAATTAAAATTAGAAGAAAATGTCTCAACCTCTTGGTTTTAGTTGGAAGACGCCATACCTTAGAACGCAAAAATGCATGGAGGTTAATTATTTGAAAAAAGAAAAAAAAAATCTATATTACCAATCTCTCCATCTCTTTTCGCAGAATCTTACTTCTAATCAAGCTCCCAATAGTGTTCGTCACCATCCTTGCATCCTCCCACCGATCCCCATCCGCTAGCTTCTTATACAAATAGCTCTCAAACGACATGCGTTGCACGTACTCATCCCCACACAGCTCCACCAGAGCTTCCCTGCACGCGTTATTACCGTAAAACACCCTCTGAAGCAAATCCAAAAACCTAAATGTGCTAATATACTTCGCATCCCATTCCTTCAGGTACTCCCTCCTTAAATCACTCTCGTCAACCATCTTCATCCCACCTTCTGACGCCTTTACGACGGCGTTTCCGCACATCCTTCCTGACTTCGCAGCAAAGTATATTCCTTCCCCTGAACACTTCGTTACGTACCCAGCAGCGTCACCTACCAGTGCCACGCGTCCTCTGACCCGAACCGGACGGGGGTGTTCGGGTATCGGGTGGGCCTCCACTTTGATCACTTTTCCACCGTTGATCTTAGGCTTGACCCTTTCTCTAATTCCTCTTTGGTACGACTTGATGTCCTGTTTGAGACACACTGTACCCGTGCCCACTGCCACGTGGTCGCATTTCGGGAAAACCCATGCGTAGAAATCTGGCGACACATCACTCCCGACGTACATCTCGGCGAGATTCTCGTAATATTCCATTTTCTCGTCTGGTAATTTGATTCTCTCCTGGAAGGCGATGGCGCAAGTGTAGCTCCCGGCGTCAATGGATTTGGCCACTCGACTGTTGGCGCCATCGGCACCGATCACGACGTCGACGGCAATAGAGCGCCGGGAGTTGTTCTTGGCGGTGTAGTGAACGATGTAGGGTGAGGTTGGTGAGGTCGGGACCTCGAGATTTGTGACAAGGCCGACGATGAGATTCGCACCGGCGGATTGTGCTCGCGACCGGAGGAAGGAATCGAGCACCTCGCGGCGGAGCATGGCGATGAACTCGTGAGACTTCAAGGTTTTGCCGAAATCGACGGCGATGTTGGAAGGGGAGAAGATCTTGACACGGTTGACTTGGCGATCGATGAGCTCGAGTGGGATATCGAACTCCTGGAGCATGCAGAGCGGGATGGCGCCGCCACATGGCTTGGCGACTGATGGCGGGTTGCGTTCGAAGAGGAAGGTCTCAATGCCGCCGGCAGCTAGGGCCTCAGCGGCGGAGGAACCCGCGGGTCCGCCACCAACAACGGCAGCTCGGAGCTTTCGGCCGGCGATGGATGAGGTACCGGGTTTGGAGGCTGAGACTGTGAAGGAACGGAAATGGGTTTTAAAATCTGGGCTTGGGTTTTTAGTGGAGAATGAAGGTAAAAAGGTGCATCGGAGATGATGAATTTGAGCAGCCATGGAAAAATGTTGAGCTATGAGAACTGCAATTTAGGGTTTTAGTTAACTAAACTAATCAACGCCCAAGAGGAACAACGAGCAGAAATTAGATAAACTAATCCGTTAGTGAGGTTTTTAACTGAGTTGCTGTAAAGGCAAAGATAATAGTATTTTACTTTGTTTTGTGTTACTATCACTGATATTCTAATAAAGCACATCAAGCCAAAGCTCCAACTTGAAATTAAAGAATTCATACTTTAATGCAGTATTAGCTCACAAAAAGACAAGGTTTCAGCACCGTATGTCCTACACGCTATTTTAATATTAATGCAAAGCCGCACACTCTTGAACGCACACCCTTTTGAGATTGTTTTACGTGAGACTGGACTCAAGCTTAAGACAGGATAAACTCCAAATACTTAAAGGGCTTCCATTGTCGTAAGGGAGGCTAAATTTGAAAATGTTCTGCAACATAAAAACTGCATGCAAATAACAATCTGAAAAGGAAATTTTAAGGTTAGTTTAGAAAAGATAAAAAAGAGGGGATGGGAAGATAAGATCTACTCATTCAAAATTTATATTCACATTACAATAATGGAAATGGATATGCTCTGATTTCTCTAGCAAGATGCTTTAGACCTTGGTGACTAGTTCATGGATAGTGATAGGGTGGCAAAGGCCAGAGAAGGGTCGGCCAGACCAGGCTGCATTAGCCAGGATGGAGTTCACGGCAGATGTGGGGCTGAGCAAGTCCCACCAAACATGTTTTGAAGCTTGGTCACAGGCTGTGTCCATGGAGATACACCCAACCGTAGCATTGTACAAGCCAAGCCCACAACATGCACTATTTGTGTCCTCAAAACCTGGACAATGGATAGAGAAAGTTATAATTCATTTCCAGTCTTGTAATCAATATATCAATATATTGTAAAAACAAAAATTGTTGACTGTCTAGAATTCTTGTACATTTACTATTCATCTACCCGAATTCAAACCTGAACATAGTACAGGAGTAATGTTAGTTTGACACACTAAGAAAATTAGAAATGTATGATAGGTTTGTAAGCTCTGACAATGATACTAAATCTACAAATGATTGAGACATGACATTGAACATAATGAGTATAATGAAATTAGTGCATTGCTATTAAAATATGTTGACATTGCATTGCATTGCTATTGAACATTAATCTGCGAAGGACGGATGCCGTTGTAGGAATAGAATTCAACAGGACTATGTTGGCAAGTCATGTAACATCGCAAATGCTTTAGCTTAACTATTGTTTTCTTGAAAAGAAAACAGTTAAGGAAGAAGAAAATGTTAAATTGTGTCACCAAGGAGGTTCGTTTGTAATTTTTTAATTCTATTTCGCTGTTTTCTTCATCTGATTTTGCCGGTCTTCAAAATCATGACAATTGGTTACACATAGGTCCTCCAAAATAAAGATGCATGAATTCATAACTGAAGCAACATGGCCGAATTCTGCAGCCAGACAACTCAAGATCTATTTTCGAGTCTAGCATTAAAACCCTGCATCTCTAACCATTATAGTTCGTTTTTAAGACAACTTATATGCGAATCGTGAAAAAAGAAAGCATACCATAAAGATTTCGCTTGCTCATGATCTCCATCAGTCCTTTGTATACGTCACAGAACACAATCTGGGCATCAGTTAACTCCTTATTAAGCTCCTCTGTATGCTTAGCAAGCAATTCGTTGTATTCCAAGACCAACTTATTGGCATAATCCACACAACCCTTGCCATGATCATCATCTCGTGCTGATGATGCCTTATTACAGGTCCAGGCCACACGTGGGGTGAATCCCAAAGGTAATATTCCCAAGCATATGATCTTCCTTGCATTTACGTCATAAAGATATCTCATAGCACTCGTCACTTGATTGACCAAAATGGTGGCAAAGTCGTGGACATCGTAATCTAACGTTTTGCTGGAGATGTTACGGAGGAGGAGATCAGTATAATCTTCTTTTCCAAAAGAGAGGATGAAGATGGAAGACTTTGTGAATTGAAGAGCAGTGTCCTCTCTAAGATGAAGCTGCAAGAGCTGTAAAGTCTCAGAAACTTGACGGAGTTGTTGAGTGAGAGACTGGTGGCTCTGTCTGCCCCTTCTGCTCATGATTGTTGCCTGTGTCGACCCAAAGTTGAGGCCTCTAATAACCTCATTCAGAGACCCATTTTGAGTATAAAACGGACGGATTAATGGCAATCCCATTTTTTCCCCTGCAGAAAAAGATTTCGTCAGAAGAGAGATTCTGATGTATTTATAATAATTAATAATGTATCAAGTGGTTAAGGAACAAGTCGATGAAAAATCATTATAATGAGTGTTTCATGCAGTAAAATGATCTATTAACACCATTTTGGCAATTCTCTGTTGATTAGTTACACGCTACAAGTAACACAAATTCTTACGAACGTGTATAATATTAAGTGGCGAATAAAAAAATCACTAGAGTGTTGTTAGTAACGGAATTCATTCATATACTTGTTGAATTTCTGTTCATCCAATACTTATAGAATACAACATAACGTTTTAATTGCATTTAAACACTGTATCCAGTTGATCACATAATGGATTTTTAGCACAAATGTGCATGGAAGAATCTTATTAAGCCTTTGTTCGAACATAACTAGGGTCCCATGCAAGCAGGGACCAGCGGAAAGATGGGGTTGTTGTGAGTTTCCGTTGGAAATGGAATCAGTAGACAATTCGGAAGTGAATTTTCATTGCCTGAGTGAATATCGTTCAAATGTTCAATAAATGGTTATAAAGTGTGCGTAAATTCATCGAACAGAAGATCATCACTCGCAATGAGCTACATGAATTGCTTAAGATCTCATCGTATTAACTTTTAATCATTGGCAAAATGGAGGTTTCTTTGATAAAGACTTCCTACAAACAGATTGAAAAGTACATATCCAAGCAGGTAATATATCCCATTTTCGTCAAGAAATTCAGATGCACCAGAGTATACAAGGTCAAGAAAAGACACAAGAAATAGGAAGACAGAGAAAAAGAAAACTACCGAGTAATTGAGGAAGAAGAGAGGCATCGGAGCCATCACAGGGATAAAGAGAGAAACGAGAATGAAGCAGGGGATAGAACAAAGTGTTGTTTCCGCAATCAACAGAAGAATCACCCAACACATACAATGCCGAGATATTCGAGCCGATTCTCGAACTGGTAGTTGTCTCTGGGAATCGGCCGTGAACTGGTAGGCTAAGTGAATTGATCAACAGAACGATGGCAGGGAGAAGAGAAGGAATCACAAACCATCTCATTCTCTTTCGTTTTCGTTTCTATATTTCTTTTCCCACTCGAATTGCGTTCTCTTCTGTTCAAGCTTCAAGAACTAGTCTATGACACTGAGACCATTTGAACAAGAGCCCTGTGATTATGGAGTTAACCGCAGGCTTAACCAGGAAGAAGAGAGAACTTCTTATTTCTCTGATTATAGGTTAAAAAAACTAAAAATTGGCCAAAAAAATAAGTAAATAGAAATAAGGCTTGCATTTTCTCATGTGATCAGTTTTGAAACATAATGGGAATTGAATTTTATCGTAATAAAACGTGTCAATATATCCGTTGTATATGTCAACAAACATTACCACCAAATGGATTTTTATTATATTAAATTACTAAAAAAAATTTAAATCTTAAATCATGGAATAATCTTTAAATCTTTTAAACAAAATTGTCCAAATAAACACTTACAGCCAGTGAGCTCGTTTAGCGAAGTATTACATATTGTTCAAAATAGATTTTTCCAAACTTTATTGATTTAAATACTTATCTATTTATTTATTTTGAGTTTTCCTGTCTACACTTTAAGCTAATCTGTTGATAATTTAAAAAATTTTTAATTAACCTCCGGTCATCTGACTGTTATTTTTTAATTTATCATCAAACTTGTGAATACAAGTTGCCCTTCATTTAAAAAAAACAAAGAAAGAAAACTATTATTTACACATATTTAACTTCTCATATTTGCATTTATTATCAAACTAGATTCTAAACTAACACTTTACAAAGAATTCAGCGTATATCGCTCTGTTCATGGCCTACGAATGATACAATTTATCGTGAATTTTATATCATATACATAATAGATAAACAGATGTCAAAGATCATCAAAATATTTGCAATAATTTTGACACTGTACACATAATTTAATCTTAAAATAAGCTAAAAAAGGTCGGATACCTCCACGTCCTATGATTTTCAAAACCCTACTTGTCCCTTAAGCATGTTAAACATCATGGTGAGTACCCTTAAATATTTTCTTCTTTCTAATTACTCATAGGTTTAAAACTGTAGAATGAGGCAGATGCTGAGAGATACATGATACAGCAATCATGTCTCTATCAGGCGAAAAGGAAATCGTCTCAGAGAAACTGTTACTTCGTAAACTGACAGGATCGAAATCTAGTTATGACTGCTACAAAATTAAATATTGTATCTACCAATGCGCATTAAAACTAAGTGAGAATAGAAACAAAAGCGTAATGCTGTTAGACGCTGCTATGCCTTCAGCTTTCCACTCACCCCACGCTTATTTGGCCAAATGCCAGTCCCTGAATTCTTCTTGGCTGCTACTGAACATTGATCATTTCTGCCACTTTTATTGCTCACATCAGCTTGGAGCTTTCGACGCCGCATCCTGTTTTCTAATCGCATCCCCCTTAAAGCACGGGCTCTGCGCTCAACTTCCAAAGCTTGTGTGAAATTCCAGATCCTAACAACACCTTCCTCGCCTCCGCAGACAATTCGATCAGCACCTAAATCAACTGAAAAAAGATTGCTTTTAAATCCATGCAGCATCCTCTGTGGGGGTTCTACTGTGCTCTGGCGCAAATGCTTTGCCCTTGTAGGTTGCTTCCCCAGAGCATGCTTGCTAGTTCGCAAAAGTTTTCTTACATCAATAAGAGCCAACTTGCCGTCACTAGATGCTGAAACAAGCCAGGGAAACTCAAAGGCAAGGGAATACACAGGACCAGTATGAGGAATCCATGTAGCAATTTTCCAAGCTTTGGTGTCAACATGATCATTCATGATCTCATACATGTGTATCGCACCGTCATCTCCTCCAGTAAAAAGGAAGTCACCCGTATGGCTTCGTGCCAAAGCATAAGTGTTACCAACATGAGCATTATGAATAATGGTCATCAAAGTTCCATTATTAGTATCCCAAATATACACATCGGAACCTGATGAACTGGCAACTGTAGTATCATGGGGGACAAGTCCCCAGACCCAATCACTATGCCTAAGCACCTGCGTGCATTTCAGTGAATAACGATCCCACAGTCGAACGGTCATGTCCCAAGAACCACTATAGATCCTAGTCAAATCCAAAGCAAGTGAAGTTATCGGACCGCCATGTCCCCAAAGTCGAAACTCAATGTTCTGGTTCTGTGTGCTTCTAAGCTCAAATAGATGGGGGAGTCCTTCAACTGCTCTCCAACAGTGAATGAACCCATCAGTACCCCCAGCAATCAGCAATCTTCTATCTGCTGCAACAGCACGAATGGTAGAGCCAAGGGGTTTTGATGATGCAATAGATAATCCATCCTCCATGTCCCACATCCTCACAACTGAATCATATCCTGAGGTAAATATAAGCTTTGCAGAAGCCAACAGGAAAACAGTCCGAACCGCCTCAGTATGGCCATACAACACATCAATGCTATAACGTCCCATAAAAGTCTTACTCCTAAACTCCCTTTCCACGAAAAGCTCCCTCCATGACTTCTCATCTGTAACTCCTGAATCCAGAACCGCGGGAACTGTTGGAAGTCCCCACCTCTCACAATAGAATTCCTTCCAAGCATGGTGTTCAAATGCGAGTCTATGGAAAATTGTGGAGACACAGGACACAATACCAAGCTCTTTAGGATCAAGGTAATTCAGAATTTCAGAAATCAAGGCCGGAGGAAGATCAGCAAATGACCGACAATAGTCAGCCACAGCATCACTTTGAAATGGGGTTTTAACTCCTTTCTTAGAGTGAAACTTCGATGCTCTTTCAGAATTGTCAATCCTCACATATTCAGGTTTGCTATTACCAGATTTTGCAATCCCTTCACTCTCGGTTTTGTTAGTATGCGGGTTTGGCTCAGCTATCTCAATGCCGGGATCTAACTCAAGTTCTACCAATTTTTTTGAAACCTCGGTACTCGTTGGGCATTCAAATGCCATAAAAATATGGGATCCTACACTTCAATTCAAGGGTTGAAAGATCAAACCCGAAGATGAAAAAGGATTGGGAAAAAATTACCGGGTCGAAACCGATGAAAAGAATTTGGAAGGGGAAAAAAAATCGAAAGCAATGAAACCGAAATTCAATTAAGAGCAAGTCACGACAAGAAACCCTGGAAAATAGCGCAGATACAACCAGAGGAATGAATGAGTCAGAAAATTTCCTAAAACTTTTGACGAAAAATTAACCAAGGAATAAAAAGCGAAGAGCAATTGAGGGTTAATGGGATATACGTCTAACAAATTAATTCAGGAAAGGAGAAGGAAAACGAGGAAATTGAAAAACAGATGAAGAAGATAGAGTGATTAATATACCTGAGAGGCGAAGCCAAGGGAGACTAAGAGAACAGGGAAGAACAACGAGAGAAACAGAGGGGCAAAGGAATCCTAAACTGCGACCAGGGTCAGGCAACAGAGAGAAGGGAAAAAAGAAGAGATGGTCATATGGTCCAAGGCGGTAGATCGAGATCCCGCGATGCCCACTCTGCTAATTATTAGCCTTTCATTGGAAAAATAAAAAAAATATAGGAAAATGGCACAAAAAAAATCACTAAAATAAAAGAATTATAAATAAAGACCCATCATAATATTAATATGAGTTTGGACAATAATTTTTATAAATTGGTACCTATGTGTAATTTTTCTACTGGTTTTTTTTTTTTTTGCTATTTTCCCTGTAATAAATATAATATAATATAATAAATGTTGACAAAAAATAATAATAAATGTGTTCTTTTTTTTTTGCAAAAAATATAATAATAAATGTAAGAAGGCGGCCAGAAACATTGGAGATTTTTCTCTAACCAATATAAATACACAACTCATATCATTTTAGTCCTACTTGGCATCCACCTAGTTTACATTTTATTTTAAGGTTCATGTTCATCTGTTTCTCTAAAATTTTCACCTAAAAAACATGAGTATTTAGAAGTCTTTTTTAGGTTCAATGTGATTCTAAAAGTGTTAAAATAGGAGTAATCATATTCATCGTAGGGTATGTCCACTTGGCTACCATTGACATCACTCTTGTTTCAATGCTTTTGAGTAACATTAAACCCAAAAAAAAAAAAAAGTAATATCTATTGCTTTTATGCGAAAATTTTGTTGGCCTATTTTAATCCTCTATTTTATTACTATTTCTGGTTTTAAATATAATACCTAATTTATAATATAAATTGTCCTACAAACTAAGTTTTATAAAAAAAAAGTATAATAATTCTTAAAAGAAAAAAAAATTAATTATTAAATCCTTCAACTTTTAACTTATTTATAATTTAGTTATTCAATTATGACTCAATACAACTTTTGACTTAGCTGTGACTCAGTTTATTTTTCACATTTTTTAAAAGATAATCCCTATCATTTGTATATCAGCACGCCTACCTTATAATTGAGTCATCCTACATGTCAACAAAATGTTATTTAACGCCTTTAATAAGTGATGCTATGGCTGCCAACTCGAAACGATGGGGTCGGAAACTAAAGGAGCTTGAATCGGAGGTCCTGCAGTTCCAGCGAGAGTAGTCATCGTCTTCATGGTTCACAGTCATAGCATTGATATCAGCCCATTTGAAATAGTTTATAAGCAACTTTTTCATCATGATTTACGGAATACGAGATAAGTATGTGAGAAAAATTTTGTCTTGACTTACATAAAACGGATTTATTAGTGATTTCAATCGTAATGGCAAATAAAACCTAATCTTTCTTGCTCAGATGGGTTTCACTAGTTTGGCTCTTATCCTCCAAGGCCATGGCTGATGTCAAGGCCTTAGGACCTTCTATAATGGTAAATTAATCAGTCATTAATCATGAAATTTGTCGCACAAAATTGATGCTTAATAGAAGTGCTTGTACACCTGTAGGTTTCTGCAAGTAAGACGTTGGTGCTTCATCATTGAAATTGTCTGCCTTGAAGAAAGTCTTTGGTATCACATTTTAACCAGTTTCTGTTGTGTCTTAAAATGTAAAATCCAAGTTTATTTCTCGGTTCAGGGTAAAAGCTTGTTGCTTGAGTGGCGCCCAATGTTAACTATTGTTGGACCAAAACTAAGGTTTGTTATTAGTATATTTTCCTATGAACTTTTTCTTGTGTTTATGTCTGGGAAAGGTGATAAAATAAATTAAGCTTTCACTGAAGACATTTTGCAAACTATCCAGACTAAGTTTTTCACTATATCCAGACCATTTAGTAGCATATTCATGTAGGTATAAAATTTTAGGATGATGATCATAGCCAGATTCATAGAAAAATTTTCATTGATTCTGAAAAGTCATTACAACAGCATCAAAATTCATCGAGGCTAATTTTTGCATCTCTGAATCAATGCCTCCGGAATTCATCATCATTCTTTTGCGGGGAATTTAGGTTATGTTTAGTAAGAAGTATTGAAAATAAGGAATTGTGATTGGAATTGCAATTGAGAAAATCCTTTAAAAGAGTGTTTAGTATAACAAATTGCTTGATATATGGGATTAGCCAAAACTATATATATGGGATTAGAGAATACCAAGGGGGACAGTAGTATTCCCAAATCCCACCTCTATGGGCCTACTTAATCCCATATAATAAATAATTACTCATACTAAATACTATTTCAATGATTTTTTTTCAATTGCAATCACAATCCCAATCCCTTATTTTCAATACTTCATACTAAACAAGACCTTAGGGCAAAGGACATTGTCATTGCGCCTTGGCCATCTGCATTGCCCCCATCAGTCTATTGCCCACACGAATTACAGCTTCTTCAACATGCTTCTCTTCTTTGGGGTGCTTATAAATCTCAACACTGAAATAACCAAAAGAACATTCATTAGACATAAGAAAAATTTGCAACCAAACACTTGAGAAAATAATACTACCTCTAGTCCTTAATATAAAATATCGTTTGACTTTTATGTTGATCCTAAATATAAGACTTTAATATATTTTATCTCTCATATTTATCTTTTTTTTCCCTCTAAAATAGTCTTTAGTTCTAACCAATATACTTGATTATTAAGAATATTTTCGAAAAGACAACACATATTTATCATAAATAACCAACTTAATTAGTTTTCTTAATCTACTGAAATTAGTCAATTAGCTTTTATACTAAAGATTGAAGATAGTAATAGTATTTCACTGCAATAATAGTTGAGGGAATTCATCTGAAAGCCATAGAGGAGTGACAAGAGGACGCTGATTGAGAACTCATGGCTTAGCTATTGTGAGAGCCTATCGATGGAGAGAAGAGGACTCATATGTTGAGAGCGGACGACGTTGATGCCTCATGGAGGATGACCCGTAGGCAAGCAAGAGGGAGCGAGCCTTCTGTGTTAAGAGAAAATTCAAGCAACACGACTTGGTTTGGAGAATCATTTCGAACAGCCAGTAAAAACAATAGCTTTCTTTTTGCTTGTGCTGACTCAATCCCATCTGGTTCTTACAAAATGGTAATCTAATGTGGCACTTGCATGAAAGGAGGGATTTAGCGGAGAAGGACAAACTTTATTAACAATGGGGGGGGGGGAAGGATTGAGTTACAACCCGAGTTAAAAGTTTAACGAGTGAGTTGCGCAGAGTTATAGTTGAAAGATTAAGTTATAGATGAGTTAAAAGTTGAAAAATTGAATGATTAATTTTCTCTTTCTATAATAATAAAGATTTGCAGGCTAGGAAAGCTTGGTAGCTGGACTTGGACTTTCCAATGTATATTATTTAGTGCCTAATGAATGTATGAATCTGTTGTTAGAACTTAGAAGGTCGATTAATTAAGTAGATGATGTATTTTGGAATAATATTGTTACTTTGCTTTGTTTTTTAAAAAATATCAAATGACATTTCAGCTTGAAGAAAGCATTTTACTCATTGCATTGGCACTTCACTTCCAGAGCCCCATTGTTAATTCGGTCCTCATCCCATGCTCATCAAACAAGCACCTACAATCTGTATCATTTAAAATTTAACTTGGACGGTTGAGATTTCAAATTTTTAATTTTTAATTTTTTAAATTGTGAAGTGATAGTTATAATTATTTCAAATTCTATATTTATCAAAATAAAAAAATTATTCAAGACATAAAAAAATATTCAAATTGATCTAAATCATCCATATAGATGATTCTAGAGTTGCACGTAGGTAGGGCAAGGTAGGACAAAAACCCTTGCCTGATTCTCAGCCCAAAAGATAAACAAAGCTGTATCTTATAGTCTATTATTCACCCCTGCCCAATAAAAGACCGAAGTATATCTTGCCCGATCCAATCCTACCCGATATTGGCCCGTCCTAAAAATATCCAATTATTTTCTGGGTTGCTTTTTTAGGACTGGGTTGTGCATAATTTTAGTAGCCTCATGTGGGCATTGCAGGCTTCTTCAGGACTGGGTTGGACATAAATTTGGACCTCTCGAACTCCTAAATGGTTCAATTAAAATGAGCACCCTGTGCTCATCTTTTTGATCTGCATGGAATACGCTCACTAATTCGCATCATTATATACCCCGTTTCATATGGAATATACGTACATACAAACAAAGCTGTCATCTTATGAACCTGAAAAAAGAAATGCGATCGTATTCTTTCTCTCTAAGTTTTACCGCTCAACTAAATTACTCTCTAATATGATTTATCATTTATAAATATGAGTACGTACTTATGCACGGAGATCTGAAAGCTGCATGCTTTAAGTTTTGAACAGATAGATCATCACAACAAATACGAGATCCGAAAGTATACAAAGAATAAAACTTGAAAAGCAACCAAAAAAAAAAAAGAAATTCAAAGAGGTATTACATTAGTGAAATGATCAAAGTCATCAAATTTATTATCCTCAAGCCTTTTCAAAAGCCTTAGCAAACTGGCAGTGGCCAAAATAGCCTTTGGATTCACATCATGCACAGCCCTCGCATACAAACTCCTACAAGCATCGCTCGCTGCATCAAAAAGCTCCTTCTCTTTAGAATTATTTAGACCCATCAAACAATGTCCCAGAATTCTCAAAATTGGTTGTAATAATTCCCATGGCAAAGGAATCCTCCCTTCTTTCTTCTTCATCCTTTTCTCTTCCTCTGTTATAATGATGTCTCGTTCTTCTTCTTCTTCTTCTTCTCCGTCTCCAACCTCCTCGTCTTCCTCGTCCTCATCACTCTGCTTATGTTCGGCTTCAGACCCGAATCCCTTGTACATGTCTCCGTCTTGACCTGCCCAGATCTTGCAGAACTCGCAAAGCTCGATTTTTGACTTGACTGGCATCTGGGAAATCTTGCTGTTGTATAATTCTAATGTGACTCCGACGATCCTGGCTCGCCGTGAGGAACGTACGGTGCCGTGGGGTTCGAGGGAGTGGGAAACGACGGCGAGGTCGAGGTTTGTGGCATTGTTCTTGACGGTGGATTTGGATTCATGATAGACGCTTGGATTGGACAAGTCTGGGATCGTGACGGTGACGGCTTGGCCGGAGCGGGCATTGGTTTCGGAGGCATAGAGGGCTAAGAGGACGGCCTCGAAGCCTGCTTGAGGTTTCCGGTGAACAATACGGGTGAGGTAGATACCGGTGATGACGGGGAGGAAGCGGAGGACGACGAGCTGGAGTTCGGGAATGCCAGATTGGAAGGTGTCATATAGCCAACGGCAGAGGTTGTTGTCGCCGGAGCCGGAGTTGGGTTCCCTGAGGAGGGCAGAGATGCAGGAGGAGACGCCGGAGTCGTGGAGGAGAGAGAGAGCGGGATTGTTGGAGGAGGAGAGGGAGGTAGGGATGGAGGGGACAAGGGAGGACAAAGATTGAATGGCTGACTGGGCTTTACGAATGGCGTCCGGTGACGGAGTGGCGGCGGCGTTATCGTCGGACATTGGATGCTTCAGAGAGAGCGAGTGATGAAATGAGGAAGCGTTTCGATTCAAAGTGAACGAGAATATGTGATTTGTGTAATGGAAGGAGGGAGAGAAATACGCAAATGTGGGAGAGATTATAGGATCACAGTTTCTTTTGTTGCATCCGGGAATATAATAAACGTTAATCATTATGGTCAAGCACCACTAATTTTACGTATATTTAAGAAAAATGACATCTAATAACTCTATTTATAAATTTTTCTTACATTTCAAAAATTTAGAAATTAGCCAGTAATAATCCTGAACTTTGTTTTTCGACCGGAATAATAATCCTGAACTGATCTAATTAGTAAGGACCCAATTCATATATATGTACGTTTGAAACTTGGCATCAATAATTTATGAGTTACTTTAATTTATCCTGAAAGGTTTTACTCATGAATGCTAGATATCCGATTTTTTTTTACAACAAATTTATCTTAGAAGTTTAAAATTATAACAATAATGCCTATTATTATTAACGAAAAAAAATTAACGTTGATCATTGATATTTTAATGACAGAAAGTAACATTTTAACTTCTGAGTGTTTAACATTCCTAAATGAAGATTTTCAGGCTAAATTTATACATTAACCCTAGAATAAAAATACTTAAAAGTGTTAACACCTTCTCAATCTTAGGGAATCTTTAAATCTAAACTTTCATGCGCATTAAATAAATTCTGAAACTGAAATCTCTTGTAAGGATTGCAAATTAAAGTAAATACTATAACTTGGACTCTTGGAGGATGATGGCATACAATTTTTGGGAAATAATATTACGAACCCTTATATATGAAAAAATATTTCCCCCCCATGAAGTTTTTATAAGGTCATCATGACTACTTTTTCAAGATTAATGAAATTAGATAAAACTAGTTTAATTTTTTACATTTTCTCCTGTCAAGTTTTTATAAGGTCATCATGGCTAATTTTTCAAGATTAATGAAATTAGATAAAAATAGGTTAATATTTTTTTTAAAAAATTTCACAACTTTCTAAGATTTTATAGTTTATTGTAAGGAGACAGAATAATCATTTAAATTAAGCTAAATCTTGCGCTTTCTTATCAATTCCCACTTTTTCTGCAATACAACCCGAGCTAAATCTTGTTTGCCTTCCCTGTTCAACCCATAAAATACAGTTCGAAAATTGATGGTGCTAGGAACAATCCCACTATCTAGCATTTCGTATACTAGCTTCAGGCCTTCTTCAGATCTACCAACCTTACAAAGACAAGTAAGGAACATGGAATATGTTTCAAAATCTGGAAATGGACCTTTACATTTCATACGGTAGAAGATATTCCATGCATCAGTAACCTTCCCAACATTCATGTAACCACGTATAAGGGCTGAATATGTAACAAGTGTTGGTTCATAACCAGACCTTCGCATTTCCTCAAAAGCTTCTATAGCCTTTCCTATTTGTTTCTCTTTAAAGAAATGAACCATCATGGATGTATAAACATGGAAGGTAGGTCTTATGCCTGCTTCCTTCATGGAATCCACCTTTGTTATTGCCTCTTCTAACCTTCCCATGCGTAATAGACCATGGACAATGCTTCCACAGGTTAATTGATCTATGGTAGATTTCTCTTTTACGACTTCATTGGCCACTTTCAACGCTTCTTCTACTCTTCCGGCTCGGCAGAGAGCCCGAATTAACAAGGCATGGCTGAGGGGAATTGTGTAGCCAACTTTTTTAAGAGAATCTGTGCATCCTCGAGCATCCGATATTTTGCCAACTTCACATAAACAACCAAGGTAAGTCTGAATCAGTTCTTGGTCAGGAACACATCCTGCAGAAATCATCTCCTTGTAGATTTTGATTGCCTGATCAACCTTCCTACCTTTCTTCTCACAAAGGGCAATAATCAAACACTTGTATGTACTCCCATTTGGGCTATAACCACTAGCTTTCATCTCTTGAAAGCAATCCACAGAAATCTGTGTCAAGCCCGTTCGTCCATAAAGCATTATCATAATAGTCCATGTATCTGACGTTATCGCATAAGAGTTTCTTCTCATCTCAAAGAATAGGCTGCGCATGTGCTTGAAATCTTTCCCGCTTCCTGCAATTTTGATTGCCATGTTGTAAGTTTCTGTAGTGTGTCTATAACCAACTTGCTTTCCCACCCAAGAGAAAAATTTTAGTCCATTGCTACCATGGATGTTGCAATTGTTCAAGATCTTCAAAACAAGTGCTGGGGTGAATTTAATGGTGCTTTTCTCTAATTTTTCTTTGATCAAGGACCAATCCATGGAAGACGAAAGAATCTTAGAAAGTCCTTGAACATCCTGCTCTGTGTGAATATCAACTTGTGGATTTACTAAGGAGGAATCCACTTTTTCTGGCTTTTGTTGGTGATGTATCACATCCATGCTGAGCTTAGTTTTTACTGATGACTGTTCTCCAGATTCATCACATGTCTGGGGATCAAGTTTAGAAGCTCTATACATCTGTTGAACTTTCTCTTTCACCCCAAGCTCCCCCTTCTTCTCCAAATAAGTCATAACCCAATTGAATATTTCATCTCCAATTACAACCTTTGAAGCCATCATTTCATTTAATAATTTAACAATGTCGTCTGTCTTTGAAGCCTTGCAAAGCTCCTTGATAAATACCGAATATGATTTCCAAGTGGGCTTGAAGCCCTGGTATTCCATACTCTTGAAGAGTTTCCATGCTTCAGATATACAATTATTGGAAACATGACCGGCAACCATAGCTGTGATGGCAACAATATCAAGCTTCATTCCTCTTCCCAGCATCTCATCATACAGCTTGCAGGCTTCTTCATAACGATTCAACCTGAATAAACGCTGCATCAGTCTTGTGTATGTGGAAATTGGAGGAGCATGGCCAGTTTCTTTCATACTTTGAAATGCATCTAGTGCCTTCTGAACCTGATTTCGCAGTAAATATTCATTTATGATGATCCCATGAACTTCGTGGTCAATATTTCCCTTTCTTGCCATAATTTCAACCATTTCCAAAGCATCAGTGATTCTGTCAGCCTTACATAGCCCTCTGACCAAGGTCTTGAAATATTCGTGTTCAAGGGCAAAATCCTTGTTTTTGAGCTCACGGATCAATTCTAAAGCTTCTTTAATTCTCCCAAAATTGCAAAAGCTCTTCAACACACAACCATATACATTATTTTCTGAAAGCAGAGATAACCTTGTCATGTCATTTCCAACCAAACGAACAGCCATAATATCTCCTAATCTTGCCATGCAGTTCATTAGCATCTTATACACTCCAATATCAAGCACCAAATCCTTATCTACCGTGTCCTTATAGAACTCCAAGGCAAGTTCTCCTTTTCCAGCAGTACAAAGTGAACTTATTATTGCTTTATAGGCAGTAGCATCTGGTTCACAACCAGATTTTTTCATATTTTTGAAGGCCAGCAATGCTTCGCTAATTCGATTTGCCTTCCCATACTGGGACATGAGAATGGTCCACGTACGAATGTCCTTGTTAAGAGAATAATTGTCCATTTCCTGCAGCAACTTTTCAACCAACCTAAACTCTTTTGCCTCTCCAGCAATGTTCAACATGGTATTGTAAATCTGAGTTGTGTAACTAAAGCCATCCTTGAGTTTCACCCATTCAAAAAATTTCATAGCCAGGTACGGCACCTTGAAGCACCTTTTCAGCACTTTTTCGACAATCTCTTGTTTCATCACATAGTTCAAATTATCTAACTTTTCTTCCATGGAAGCCAATTCATTTTCCACCCGAACAATTCTTGTGATCTCACCGACTACTCGGCTCACATCATCTTCATCCAAATTTCCTAACTGGGCTTTGCTTAGAACCATAATATTCTCTTTCCTCTGCAATGTATTCTCTTTGACATTTGTACAAACATTCTGACTACAAGCTGAGTTAACTTTAGAATCTTCTTCACCACCATGAGCTTTCCCAGATTTCAATATTTCAGACAAGGTATCACCAGGAATCAGGTCATTAGCACCAAAAATCTCCGTAATGTCCTTGAAAAGCGCATCAAATCGAGTAGTTTCTGGCTGCTCATTTGCAATTTCTTGGGCATTTTGAAGCCGGTGAAGCTTAGATGAATTGGAGATGTCTGAGAGATGTGAAATTTGAGTTTGCGAAACTCGAAAGTTCAAATTTGAACACAATGATCGTAATGAGCTTATTGCTCTCATGGAAAAAGTTTTCTGAGACTCTATGCACCTTCATTAGAAATCAACAAAGGCATCAGTACATAAAAAGGAAAAGAAAAGAAAAAAAAAAGTCATAAAAAATATCAATATATGATATCAATTTAGAATTAGGATGGGAGTACCAAGGTATTGAAAACCAGACTAGTCATTAAATCTGTAGAGGTAGTGCTTCAAACCAGGGCCAGACTGGTGATAATTAAACTAATATAATTTAATTAAAATGGGGTTGCTTGCAATATCCATGTGTAATAATCTTATAATGCTCAGTTTCAGTAGACTCTCAGCACAAACAATCCAACAAAAGCTACAAATTAACAAAACACTCAAAGAGAGTTACTAAGTCCGAAAGTCAACTATCAGCTAAGGCAGTGGAATTTCACAATTAGCAATCAGCAAAGAGAGTTACAATCATCAAAAAGGCAAAAATTTCTTATATTGGCAAATAGAGTTTATCCTTAGCAATTAGCAAGTAGTGTCACAACAAAATTAGCAAAATTACGACAAGATTAGCAATCAGAGTTTTAATCAGCAATCAGCACAGAGTCACAACAAAATTTCTTGCATTGGAGGAAAAATTGTTTATTATTTAGACCGTAAGTACACAATTAGCAGAGAACATAGCACAGAGATGAAAAATTCAATTTGAAACGAAACAAAAATGAAGATGGATTTCTAAAGTCATATGGATGCTCAAGAAACCAGAATACCACAGTGGAGAGTGAGAGGGAGGGAGAGCCTACCGGGAGGAAAGAAGCCACACGAAGAGGGAGAATGACCTATGCTTCTCCGCAAATTTGTGGACTTCGCAAAGCTACATGAGTAAGTCTAAGTTTTGAACATTAATGATTGAAGAAGCCACACCGTTTCTGGCCAAGAACGAAGCAGCAGTGAACAACGGTGACCAGCTGAGGAGCACAACGGTGAGGAGCTGAGGAGCACGAGGGCGAGGGAACAGGAGAATTTGGGGTTTGGGGAATAAGCGCAGAACTGCAGAGCCTGAAGACACAGCAGAAGAGGACTCCAGGAACGGAAGAAGAAGAACTGAAGCACTGAAGCGGCGTCGTTCTCTGTCTACTTAAATTTTTGAAATTTTATCAGTGCAATTTTTGTATTATTAAGAAAAATCCATATAACCTAAATTTTCCTTTTTATATATTCTTTTTATTTTTATTATTTATAAATTTTTATTTCTCACGATTTTTAGTATGAAGATTTCGAAGAGATTCTTTCATTTATAGCTTTTACAAATAATAAATTTAAATATTGATATTGAAACTGATTACAATCAACATTTAGGTAGGTGTGATTGTGAATGGGAATAACAAACCTAATTAAAAGATGTACACTCTATTTACTTTTTATATTTTCTAGAAAGGATAGCTACTGTTAACAAATGAGGATATTTCTAGTTTTAAGTTTCTGCACTCTATAATGCTATTTCCATTTTTCTTTGATGGGCTCTCCCGCTTTGCAAGCTCAATTGGAGAGCCTTTTAGGTGTGTAAATTTTTACTTGCTTTAATTAACACTGTTATTTTATCCCCAAAAGGAAAAAAAAAAAAAGATATTTCCAATTAAACGTTAAAAAATTGACGCGTGTAAAAAATTTACCTGTGACAAATGAAATGGTTATTCATTTAAACAAACCTTATAACATGTCACATAAAGGTGCCAAAATGACTTCTGGCGATTTGGTTTGTGCGCTATGCATGCAACCAAATAGTCAGAGGTTCGACTTGGCAGAGAAGAAGAAATAAAGGGAAAATCACTCACTTGATGAGGTATTTCAAAATACCTCTCCTTTTTCCGTGGATTCTTTGTTTTTTCTTCCAAAAAAAAAAAAGTCACTTTACTTTCTTTTTAGGCCAACCTGTCTACTGCACGTTTGGCAAATATCACACCCAGTCTTTTTTTGTCTTCCGAAGATTGGGATCAATACAAGCAATTTTTGCAGCAAATCTAAGAGGCATTCCTTGAGACGGACAGCCTGTAATTTAAGCAATAACCATTTGATTATATAGTAAACTCTGACACCTTATTATATTAGATCTGCTACATCTCCAACATTGACTGGGTATTTAACTTCATCGCAGGAATTGATCATATTTATTGCCTTGCACTACGGCTACAACCTCAGCATTGCATGAAAATTACAAATTGATTATTAAAAGGGTTATAAACCAAGAAACTACATTTAGCATCTTACACAGACAAATTAAGAAGCACAGAACTTGAACTGATGAGAGTCAACAAACACAATAATCTGTGAATGTATTTGGGGATGCCACTTTTAAGGAGAAAATAGTCATACAAAGCTCCATTGATCTTGCATACATCGAAGATATAAAATGAGCACTAAAGTGATGGGTTGGAAGCACAATATCTTCAGGTGCTCTTCCTCCTTTTCCTTCATCTAATGGCAAGTCATAGTGCCTTGCGATGTCTACCCTTAACAGTAGTATAGCCAAATGCAGAATAAAATTTGCAGAAATCAAGCAGAACAGATGCAAAGCAATAAGAATTGGAAAGCCTACAATCCAAAAGGTTTCTCCTTGGCACTCGTTAGTTACCTAATACCTTCCATCTTGAGAACCGATTTCTTGTGATCTTCCAAGAGACCCACCCAACTGAGAATCAATTGCTTCAAGCCATTCCTTTGCTTCTGCTCTTTGCTCATGAAACTGATCTAATGCAAGTTCATATGTTTCTAGCTTTGCCTCCATCTATACCGCCAAGACATCAAGCGTATCAGAGCCAGAACTCATTCCATCCACTCTTTGTCAAACCCAAGGATATTTGCTTCCCCTATGTTTGCCTCCACAATTGATCTATCTGATGCAGTGACGTCATAGGGAGTTTTGGTGGCAAGGATGACCAAAGTATCAAGTAGCACTTGATATGAAAATTGTATGATTCGATTAGTGTGTTGTTCGCAAGGTAGCCTTAGTTGTGGAAATCGCTCCAGCACAATGGTGTGGAGGGCAGGTCCACCTTCTTTCCAATCCATGAGTTGGAAAATTTTGCCCATCCCCGGTGTAGGAGATGCTGGCAACACCAACTCGTGCTTCTGGCATATCCAAGAATGTCGAGAGATGGTTGAATGAAAAACATGAAATGAAGTCTGCCATTGGGGCCATACGAGAAGCAAATTCATGGAATGAAAGCTGCTCTGACAAGGATATCCATATCAATAATATTCCCTAAGCTACCAATTTCAAGGCACACCCAGCAGTGAAATCAATTCCAAGTACTTATAAGCAGTAAATGTCATGGTAATGCTGAATGAAACCATGGGCCCCAGGTAGAGAAGATAAAAAATAACGGACCACATAAAGCAAAACAAACTGGTGCGTGAAGAGAAGAACATCAATCCAGCAATGTCCCCTGGATCCTCATCATGACTCACCTGACCTATCCTTCAAACAACAGAGAGCTCACAAGAGCAGGTTAATCTATGGGAAACAAAAGAAAGGATGATGCATGTGAGGAAAGAGGCCAGTTAACGCAACTCTTTGCTTGGACTAACATAATCATTCAGAGGCCATAACTTTCAAAAGCAAAATCATTCAACTATTAACAATAATAAAGCAAAAGCCCAGTTAAGAAATAAGTATATAAAAACTAATATAGCAGGCTCAATAGGCTTTTGATAGGCAAAAACTACTAAATATACAATATCAAGAAAAACATGAGCTAATTTTGGAAACAGATATTTGATCAAACAGTCCAGCTGTAAACTTGCAAAGAAGTTTAAATAGTAGTTAAGCTACTATTATATGTAGTTATCATCTATAAATCATTAAAATAAATGTTCTTTTCAAGGCAAAATTTTTAAACAGAAATTAAGCAGAACTGATGCAAGCTGCAGTTAACCATTTCATCGACTCACAGAAGCTATCTTATTTACTAAGGAATTAGGAATTTTGTTACTCCATTGATATCCATGACACAGTAACCTGCCTGCCCTCCTCTCTCAATCTCGTAAGTTTATACCTTGAAAGAAAATAGGGAAGTAGTTAACTCGCTACCTTAATACCACTCTGTTAGTTCCTAATTAGATTGGTTTTTGGCGGCTGAATTCTTATTTTCCCAGTTATGACCCAAACATATTTAAACCAAGCCCAAACAACGTCAAAAGGATCAATTTCAAACCATTAACAGCAATCAAAACAAATCAGATTTACGGGGATAATTTGATAATAAACAGAATAATACTACCGTAAAGACATCAAAACATGCATCTGTCGTACTCTCTTTGCCTCTGCTGCAGCCAAAGTAACATCAATTCGAAGATCTTCTATAAATTTCTGGAAAATCTCATCATCAGAATACAGAATTGCTTTAGCCAACATTTTGTCTGCAGTGGGGCGCTTTCTAATTGGAGCATTCGACGCTACCGAGGCAATACCCAGCAACGATGTCGGAGGAGGAGAGCATGGGTCCTCCGGTGAAGCTTCCATCAGGGAACTGAAAAAGAAAACTTTTTAAGTAAATAAGGAACAAAATGAAACAGAAAAAAGGCAAAACAAAAAGAGGGAGTTGAACCATGATCGCCCAAAAACCAAAAGTGTATTGTGGTTACTGAGATCTTACATTTGGGTAACCTTCTTGGGCTTATCATCCACTCGTGGATCCGCCGGTGCAGCCGTAAAACCGTTTCGACGATCGGAGGCGCCACTGTTGGCGTAGGAGATCTGTCTGGGAAGAGTCTCGAGAGACATGGCGTTGATTCTCTAGAGGCAGTGGGTATTAGAAGCAAAAGAGTCAGAAAAATTCTGGGCGGTACCCAAATTTCTTCAAGGGGCTTGTGATTTTGAATTGAAGAAGTTTGAGAGCTTAAGGAATTCTCAGACGCGAGTGAGTTTTTTGCCCGTTGAATGTATAATGCGCGCCCGTTCCTCTTCAAGAATGAATAATGCGCGCCTCCCGTTGTTGGCGCCTGATTCCCTAATCTCGCCGTTGAACCTGTAAATTAATCCTGGCCGTCCGTTCAATTTAAATTGCTTTGGGCATGGGCCGAAAGAAGCTGAAGCACGTCTAAGCCCAGAATTGGTAGAAAGCCGGCGCCCATCCGTTTTTAAAAGAACAAATAAAAATAGTGGAATGCGATTTAGAAAAATAGATGAAAAATCTCTATTTAGAAACACATGACTTGCTTGACAATGCGGTTAAAAAAATAAGAGGTTTTGCCACTCCAATTTTCAGATCAAAATTTCTTCGCAAGAAAGAACTCCTTACAATCTGCTCTTGGAATACTGTATGACTTAATTAGAAAGTTGATATTAATTCTCTATGTAAGACTTATTTTATATATTTATTAATTTTTTTCAAATTAATCCTATTGGTATTCTATCAACAATAACAAAATAGGAGAGGCAATGAGAAAATTAAGATGATTAGGGAATTTTGAAAAAAAAAACACACATCATGTTAACTAAGTTAACAAGTATATTTAATCTACTTAAATTAGTTAATTAGAAATTATAGTAAGGGTCAGAGGAGCATACTGTTAGATGATGCAGCCAATTGTTAAGATTAAGGGATTGCTTATTACTCCTATAGTCTTTAATGTAAAAGTTAATAAACTAATTTGAGTAGATTAAAAATACTAGTTAAATTAGTTAGGGATAATTAATTTGCAAGTCCTTATAGTTTCAATCAATTTTGAATCAAATCCTCATTATTTTTTTCTTTTTATCAGGATCTTATACTTTCACCTGTTTTTAATTAGATCTTTGCATTTGTTTTTTTTGTTATCAAGTCCTTATAAGTTCATCTTATTTTTAATTAAGTCTCTGAATTTTTTATTCTTTATGTTATAAATTCTAATAGTACTATTCTATAAAAATAAAATAGTATATATTATTTAATATTAGTTTATAAACAATAATATTTTAGAAATAATGAATTGTTATAATTTTAATTTTTTCAGCCAAAAAAAAATTAATTGTTCTAAAAAATTTTCCTGAATTAATTAATTATATTACTTATTTTTTATTATATAATTATTAATTTAATTTAATTATTAATATTTTATATTTCAATATTAATATATTTAATTAAGTTTATATTTAATTAATAAATAAAATTAAAACTAGATGGACCTGATTAAAAATTTAGTGAAATTATTCTGCCATTGGACGTTCGTTAATTTAAAAAAAAAAAAAGGAAAAAAAAGAGTTATTAGTAGTTTCAGCTTTTATAACCACTTTATTTATTACTTTATTTATCTTGTCTTCTTTTTCCTTCGTTCTTTTTTGTTACTGATGGATCTAACAGCCTCCGTCTAAGCTTTACCAAAAAAGAAAGACCCCCAAATAACCTTATTTAGCCTCACACATCTTGCTGCAAGACAAAAAGAGACGCTCCCAAACACATCACAATCAAATGGCCCTCTTCAGAAGAATGGCAGCCATTGTTGCTGCTTTAATAATAATCACAGCGTCCTCATCCCACAGCACAACATCAGCCAAAGCCCCGCCATCTCCTCCGGCTCCCGGCGGCATGGCTCCGGCACCTGCAAAGGTGATTACAGAATGCTTCAGAGCCTTAGTGAACACATCAGATTGCCTGAGCTTTGTGAAAACTGAAAGCAACCTCACAAAACCAGAAAAAGGATGCTGCCCGGAGATCGCAGGACTAGTAGAGAGCAACCCCATTTGCTTATGTGAGCTATTAGGGCATCCTGAAGCTACTGGTTTCACCATTGATGTCAAGAAAGCTCTCAACCTTCCTTCTCTTTGTGGAGTGTCTTCTGCTCCTAATGTTACTTCCTGCTCAGGTATCCCTACTTAAACTTCAATCATTGTCTTCTCTGAGTTTCATTTTTGTTCGATCTGTTTAGTTTTTTCTGAGAATCATGATAGATAGTAATCTGATTCTGGGAATCAATCTAGTTTCATCATCAGGAACTGGTTATTTGGTCACTGTTAAAATTTAGAGAATGATTCAAAAGAATCCTAGACATGCTAGTTTATACTAGTGATGCTGGCAGATCCAATAATCACGGTATTTTTTTGGGAAAAATAATTTTTTTTTAATCAAGCTAAAGCTGGAGTATGTGCAGTGCACTGTCTTCGATAATGTGATGTCATTTGCAATTTCATATCGACAGTGGTCTAATTTTTTTTTCCCCTTTCTCGAAAATAAGTCCCAATTTAATTAGCAATTTTTTTTGGGCAAAAGGACATGAATTGAGTGTGTGCAATTATTTTTCTCCGATGCAACTCTTTTTTAACTATATGCAATATATTTTTCATTATGTGGTATTGAAAATTTTTCTGTGTAATTGACGGTATGTTGCATTCAAATGAGGAAGAATTACATTGCTGAAGATAATTGTGCCAAGTCTTTTTACCAAAAAGGTTTGCCACATGAACCAATGGGCATTTGGTCTGGGAGTGGAGATTAGTTACTCATATTGTGATAAACCGATATTTGAATTTTTGCTAAGAGATATGTTCACGTTTAGTCTCTGATAGTTTCTTAGATAAGATTGCCTCTAATAGATAATATATATCGAAAAAAAATTGCCCAATGAGAACATTTTCCCGAATTCTCCTTTTTTTTAATTAAATGTGTGAGCGAATATTTATTAAATATTTACTGTTATGAGATGCAGCTGCAGGAGTGCCAGTGTCGTTGGCTCCAATAAGTCAAGATGCCATGTCTCCGAGTAAGACAATGAAATATTTCCATTATCATTATTATTACCTTTTTTGCTGATATTACCTTTTTTTTAAATAAAGAACTCATTATTCTTAACCTTTTTCTATATCATGCTCCTTTTGATTGTCCCCACCATGTGCCACGCTACTTTTATTTTTCAATTGATGATTGATTACACTCACATGGAGCTACTTATGTAACTTTACCATTTATGTTAATTTTTCAACTGCTCCGTACTCCAAGTAATTAATATGAATTTTGGCCAAAAAGAAGTAACTAATTAATAAATCTGATGAATTTTCTTACCCACAATTCATATATTTATGTATAACCAATAATGGAGAAGAAAATGAATTGTTGTGTGTTTGATTAAAAGTGGCTTCAACTTTTTTTAATTAATTTTTGAAAAATTGAATTTAAAATATTTCAATATGATAATGCATGATCATAATCTAGTATTAGATTTTTTTTTTAAGAAAAAAGAATAAATGAAATATTAACGATAAAAAAAAAATCCTTTTGAAGAACTTTTCCACATGAGAACCAATTTATTAATCTCTTTGCTTTTACTGCCATTAAATTGCAGACGATCAACCAAGAGAAGGATTGGCACCAAGCCCTTCAACACAGGAATCAACTTTGACTTATCTTCCAAATGAAGACGACGAAGATGCAGCTTCCACCATTAGCAGACACTCTAAGCTCAATTTCATGTTCGGCTTCGTCATTGCCATCATCTTCACCTTAAATTATGATTCCTAAACATCATTAATTACTATGTTCTTAAAACGTCATTTTTAGGTTCATACAGTCCCCATTTAGATTCACTGGGTCGCCCTCTCAAGTCTTAGCTTTGAAGTAGCGGTAATAAAAGTTATTTTTTATCTAATTTTTGCAAACTAATATTGGGGTAACATTGTTTTATAGAAAAGTTAGTTTAACAAAAAATTTGTTTGGATGGTATATTACTTTAATTGTAACCTAAATTTTGTTGCATACCAAAAAGCACTTATCATACTGGTAAAGGGTTCGTCCAATTTAACTAGTGGTCTTGTCTTTAAGTGCCGGAGATGTAGCAGTGTTAAGAATACCTGGTAATAAGATTTTAAAAAAGTACTAGATGTTAGGAGGCCCAAAGGATTATATTTTGAAAAAATGTGAAGGGGACAATAAATTTATTTATTGAAAGTTGCTTCTTGGGGCAGGATACGTTGTCGGATCATATATATAAAATATACTACTTGCATAATAAAACCAAAACCAAAACCAAATCCAAATCATCTAACTCATTGACAAATGACTTATGTATGGCATACATCAAATTCGCAAGTGGATGTATAACAAAACAAAAAGAAGGACGAATTTGGTTTAATTCACAAATTTCATAATAATTAAAATAGATTAAGAATTCATCAACAGAAGAATAGTAATATAAGAAAGACTTGGAAAAATTGACTTCATTATTATATATTTTCTTAGCCAGAGGGTTTTCTTGAGATCCGAGAGTGCTTATTCTCATATTCAGACCTTCTTCAATAATACTACCATCGACTTTAGAAGCCTCAAATCTCATTACTGAAGTTTCCCCTGTGCTCTGTGCTGTCTCTCTGTGTGCTCCATTTTCCCGGTAAGAGCGTGCGTTGATTCATCCTTTAAAGTATTCTCTCAATTTGCTAACTTTGATTTGTTATTCTCCTTCCCCCCCCCCCTCAAAGTGATTGATTTGAACAGAAAAACTGAAAAAAGAAGACTACTCTCTTAGCTTGTTGAAGCCTGAAGGCATCGTCAAGCAATCTGCAATCTGCAAAAATAACTTGGTAAGTTCATCACATCACCTTCCCTTTTTATCTCTTAATTACTTACTTTTCGTTTATCATAGCTAGTGTTTTTATATTATAAGTTTATGTGCCTCCTGTGCTTCATAAGTCCTGTCTTCTGCTTCAGTACTGAGACTTAAAGTAAACGTTATTAACTCCACTGTATTACTATGATGAGATACCTTTAAATGATTCTAGGCTTTATATCGTGACAAATAATTTGTAGGGAAAATTATCCTAAGATTCCAAACAAGGAACATAACTATTGAAAAATCTCAATGATAAGTGAGCAGTTAAAATCTATTATTATTTCTTATGATGTAACTTGTCATTAATATTTACAAGCTACTTAGTTGTTGTGAGATTTTTTTAATAAATATATTTCTTATTTGGGACTTTATAGTAATACTCCCTAATTTGTATGTAAACCCGATTTTTTTTTATGATTGTGAATGTTTTAACTTAGATAATATATACTTGATAAATAATCTCTTCAAAAATAATATTCAATAATACGGTGAAAGTTTTACCATGCTAGTTTTTGTACCGTAGGCAAAGAAGACAAATTAAAATCGTTCTCTTTATTTTCTGATTAATTGCTGCACGATTCTATACAATGTTATCAAACTCACGAGTTTAAACAAACTCGTGATAATGATATAAATTCGGATTATAAACTCAGATCGTAAACTTGTAAGAGTTTACTGTTATTAATAAACTAGTATTAAAAGTATATAATCAAATAATTAAGATATAAAAATGAGATCAATTTCATTTAAATATACTTTAAATTTAAATAATTGAAATTATATCTATCAATGTTCATAATTTATCATATTCAACAAAAAAATTTCTATAAAATTCACATATAAAGTCACTAAACATAACCAAATCCAAAAATTTAGCATGAATTTAAGAGCGAGTTGACACGATTTTACAAGTTTAAAATGTAAAAACGGTAATCTCGGTAAATAAATTCGTAAGTTTAACCGAGTTTATAGTTATTATGAGTTTAAGAGCAAATCGACATGATTTTATTAGCTAAAAATATAAAAACATCAAATTCGGAGAGTCAATTCACGAATTTGATAACAGTGATTCTATGTGCTCTTGTTAATTAATTACTTTAAGGTATATTCACCTTATAATTATACATTCCCCTTGTTCTTTTTTATTTTTTGATACGCCGGAAGGAATATTCCCCTTGTATGTATCTTTCCTTTGGTTTAATTTCATTGTTGTGTTTATATTTTTCGTTTTGCTTCTTAAGTTCTTTCACTCTTGTTTCGTCGTTCTCTTAACCTCTACCAATATATATTGAGAGGGTTAGAAAGACATAGTATTATGATATACTCCTTTAATCCTAAATATAAGACACATTTTGTACTATAAAATAGATCTTATATTTAGAACTGGAAGAGTATAATTTATTATACCTTCTATTATGTTGTTAAAAATCAGCTGAAACCTGTTATTAAGTTTTGTTCTTTTATTTTGCAGTGTGCCCTGATCTCTGATCATATTTAGTTCTTCATTGTAGCTGTCACGCGTCTGATTGCTTTGTCTTTCTACAAAATTAACAAAAAAATTTACAAAAAAAAAGCAAAAAAGAAGACTTCAGTACTTCACCGTCCAAGAATCATCAGAGCAACGTCGGCACCTCTGGGGGAAAAAAAACAGAGAAGGTAATTATATATTTTGATCGTGTCAATCTTACTGTCAATGCGGATTAATTGCTTAATTAAAGCCTAGGAATTCATCAACAAAATAATAATAAAAGACTTGGAAATTTGACTTTGTGAGTCCAATAATTGAGGGCACATACAGTGAATAATTATAGATATTTTTAGCTTCTTTAAATCTCGGGAAAAGACAAGGAGAGATTAATAATATCATTCTCTTATATGTGCTGATTTTCTTTTATTTGTTTGTATGGCAAGATGATTAAAATTCCTTTTTCTTTTTTCTTTTGGCAGGTTTTATACACTGATTAGTTCGTGTTTGGGTTCTTGATTTATGGTTTTCCATTCGGTGGATTGTTTTTAATTTCTACAAATTAAAAAAGAAATGTCAAAGGATCATTCAAAAGTATTGGAATCTCTCAAGAAAGGTTAATATTCTGGTCCTTGACCTCTACCAATATTGAGCCATTTGGTCGTGCATGTCTTATCTCAAATATTGTGTTGAATAATTTATATATAAACACGAATTTTTTTATAACTATTGTAAATATTCCTTTTTTGGCCAGCAAATTACTGTAAATATTCAAGCTAAATATAATACTACTTAATGTTTAAAAAAAATCGCCATTCATGACAATTCATAACTATATTTTTCAACATTTAAATTTATTTCGTTCAAATTTTATGATCTTATTTTTTTATAATATATTTTCACTATCGATTTTATCTGATACATAATAATTTTATTTATGATAGTTGAGCAATGTAGGGTGCTCAAGTTTTAAATTTAAATATTTAAATTATTATTCAATCATATTTTTTGTTCTTGTAACGTAGATTACCAGTATTGAAGGCTAATTAAATAAATCGATGAAACTATGTGACAGAAAATAGTTTGAAAAAATAGTTGATGATTTAAAACCTTTAAAATTAGCCTTAAGAGGGATAGGCGTGGCTAAATAGCTTAGCAACCTACTTAATTTAAATTTATTCTTGAGCTTGTAAGCCCAAATTTTGGCATATGACACCTCCTTTCATACACTGATTTTTCTTGCTTTTATTGGGTCCAATTTGGCTCTCAAATACTTTCACGTCAATTTGGAATAATTACAAGTCAAAATAAACGGAAATTTATGAATTCAATCATGAGGTGTAATATTTTGTATTAATCCGCTAAAATCTTCAAATAATTATTTCGAATGATCATCCAAATATTATCATTTAAGGCATTTGCGTAATTTTTGAGTCATGGAATTTGGCCAAATACGAAATAATTAGCCAAAAATAGGCTTTTAAACTCAACATATTTTCTTAAGGTATTTTATTTTAACCTTTAGTGCATCCACTGGGCCTTAAAAATCACTTAGAAACCTTTTTCCTATTTTCCCTGAATTTGCCTAATTTTCTTCTTCTTTTTTTTGGCTGGGATCATTATTGACCTGACGCATATGTCGCATTAATATGGATTTCAACAAGAGTTTTAATGATATTTTCGTTTTATTGGTGACATTTATTTCAATTTCTTTTTCCTTCATCAGGGCAATAATCTCACCCAAAAATTTGGGTATTTGTCTTTTTGTTATCTGCCTTGAGGACTCAACAGAGGTAATCGTTTTATTCCTTCTATAATATTACTTTCGGTCTTTAATATAAAAGTTAGTTGACTATTTTAACTAGATTCAGAAAACTAATTAAATTAGTTATTTGTAATAAATATATGCAGTCTTTCATAGAATATCGTTGCTAATCAAGTACATTGGCTGGAACTACAATTATTACAAAGATTATCTTGAAAAAAAAGATAAATATGAGAGACAAAGTAAATTATGATTTTATAATTAGAACCAAAATAAAAGTCAAATGAATCATTATGTTAAGGACCAGAAATAGCATATAATCTTCTCTAATTTGTGATTTTTACGAATATCATGGTTTGTATATATGCATGCGCCTCTCTGCTTCCGCATTCCTTGCTCAGCATTCAAAACGCTGGCGGTCACACTCCGCTTTCCGTGCATAGATGGAACCCATCTCAAATCATCCTACTTCTTTAAAACAACCTGTCCAAAGTTTGTATGATTTCTTTTCTTGCAAATAATAAAGGCAAAACAAAAATACGAAGGTGATACTTGCCCCATGATAGATCCATCTAACCTAGTGAGAGAGCAGTATTGCAGCCACAAACTATCCTCATAATCAGCATAAAAGGACCATACATTAGATTCTCAGCTAAAACAATAGCAAGTAGATGCATAATTACATTTCAAACCAAATCTAGCCTCATTCGACTCTCCTTTCCTTCCAATTCTTTCCCATGTAAAGGAAAGTTAACATATATTCCAGAAGCTCTCTTCAACCAATTTAGCTCATCAAGATGATACAATTAATTCTTCAATAAACAAAGCAGGACCAAGCAAGAATTAGCATACCTTAGGGACATTCGGTTCTTCAAAAAGCCTCCATCACCATACTAGTACCACCTTACATACCGTTTGGTACGAAACATTGAAGAATAAGAAATAAGGATTGAGAAAATAGTATTTAGTATGAGAAATTACTTATTACTTGGAATTGGATGAACTCATATATATAGGATTGAGGAATACTATAAGAGAAGGTGTTATTTCTCAATTCTACTTTCATGGGTTTATTTAATTCTATATAATAAACAATTACTCATGTCAAAAAAATTTTAATGATTTTTTAAATTACAATCTTAATCTTATTCTTTATTTTTAATGCTTCGTATTAAATGGGATCGTCACCGAACACATAACCCACGAAGATAGCTTCAAACAGACCTTCAATTGCTTGCCATGTTTAAATCAGAAAAACAGAGCTCTCATTTTGACATTAGTACAGCAGAGATTGCTTCTGAATACTTTTTATACCAGCGATTCTACTAACGAGGCGTCGGCTTCAGCAGACCGATCATCCTCACCACTCTTCAATATCTGCATCGCGATCTTTGATGATCTCAATCTCCATTGCTCCGACGTCTTTTCCATTACAGATTTGTCTTCAACTGACTTGGCTTTGCCTTGGCCATCATCTTTCGGTCCTAATTCCTCAGATCCATAAAACAATCGCTTCTCCATTTTGATCCTAATAGGCTCCAAAAAACGCAAACCACAACACACACACACACAGAGGTCTCCTCAACTCACACACACCACCGGACATCCTCTCCCACCGCAGTTGCCGGAAAAAGGCGGTGGAAAAAATGCTCCCACTCACGGTGAAAAACAGGCTCCCACAAAGGTAAGCCCTGTAAGAGAAAGGAAGGGGGAAGAACCCCCTTCTAAAAACTATCCAAACGGCCATATTTTATAAAATCATTTGACCCTTAACCAAACACTCATATTTTGATAAAATCAATTAATTATGGGACCCTCAACCAAACAATCATTTATTGTGACTCTGGTTTGCCCTATTTTATTGACAAGTTTATCCTTTTATTTTGCAGTTTGCTCGCGCTTGGATTCTTCTTATTAGCTTCTGCTTATTTGATAGCATTGTGCTTCTAAATAATCTTTTTCAAAAAACAAAAGACAAAAAAAGACACTTTTCTGTTCAAAGCATCATCAAAGGACTTTGAATTCTCCAGAGAGGAAAAAAGTAAGAATATTTAAATTTTGGTATAACGGGATTGACATATTTCTCTTTGCGTTAAGTCGCAAATCGCAATGGATTCGATCGCAGTAAAGTTATAATTTTCTAACAACTTAATATTTAGAAGCAAAATTCCATTTCGTGAAACTTTAATTTCTTTTATTCCTTCAGGTTTGCATTAGTAAATTTGTCTTAGATATAATAATTTTATGGATTAATATAATCTTCAGTTCTTTACATTTATTCTCATTTTAATTTTTGTCCCTTAAGTTTCAAACTATAAGTTTTTATTCCTCACAGAACAAGACAGAACAAAACATCTTGGTTTTGATTGAATTACAAAGACTAATATCAATCTATAATATTAAATCAAAATCAACTACAAGCCGGCTCACTTGCACCCCCATAATGGCTCCTCACTTAAAATACTGTTCTATGAACAGTACCAGCTTAGGAATAGTAGCGGCTCAGTTTTGGGCTGCGCCTATTTTTAATTTTGTGCATAGTATTTTTTTTTTTCCCAAGTACTTTTTTTTAAAGTGTCCAGATGAGAGTTTCAAAATTTTAAGTTCTCTCCATTTCAACTCTTTCTCACTCTTCGGTTTCGAAATCTGCAGGATTTCTTTATGATGCTTTTTTGACTTCCTCCCCACGTTATATCCAAAGTTTTAAAGTATAATAAACAAACAAAAATTAATATTAGAAATGTATATGATGATATAAATATAAGAAGTAAATATAAAATTACTGCACATATATTTACGGATGGCATTAATATTAACAGTTTTAAATTAAAAATTAATAGATGCAGAAAGTACTTGAATTTTAATACGGTTAAAAAATCAATATTTAAATATTTTAATGTTTATAATAATTTTATCTTTGAAAATATAACAATATTATAATATAAATATTTTTTGACGTAGTAATATAAATAGTTTTGCTTACCTTCATAATATAGTAAAATTTTCAGATTTTTTAAAATTTGTAAATTTTTGGCTTTTGGAAAAATGAAAAAAAAATTAATTATAACATATCCCAAAATTGACTGCCACACGCTTCCTCCCTGCAACACGCTTTCTGTAGTCTTGATAAGTCGTATACTTTTCTCCGTTGCCCTCATTTTTTGCTTCGAGTTTCATCTTTTCGTCATTTTAGCTTTAGTTATGCTCTTAGCAAGTTCTCACAGGTTGTTACCAGATGTGGACTCCTTCGCTTCTTCTGCCTGGTAAATCATCTTCTTTCTATTCTTTATTTTTTACTCTCTCCTTCGTGTTTCCCATTGTCTTTTCCCATTCCTCTTTTTTCCCCCTCTTCTCCTCAATTTCCCAGGTGAATCGTTCTTGCAAAACCGTTGTGGGAGCTTGAGTTTGCGGTCTTCGATGTCGGCAACCGTTGGGTGAGGGTGGTGATAGATATTGGTAGGACGCTCTCATATAACAGCAAGGAGTGCTTCTGGAGCAGAACCTACAGGTAGATCCTAGCTTTCTTCATCCTAGCTTTCTAAGTTTCACCTTTAAATACTAGGTTTTAATTCTTTTTCTCGTCTAAGTTACAGTAGCATATGCTGATGCAGGACTTATTCCTAAACATAGTGGGCTAATTCTCATTTTGTAGTCTCATTAGTGGACCCCGGCAAAGCACACAAATGTTTTCACGAACAACATCTTTGGTTCAAAGGTAATTATGGCTCAATAGTGCATTCACCCCAATATTCTGCCTTCCAGTATAAAAGAAAATTAACAGTCAGGCATTTTGCAAAACCTTATATATTCGCTGTCAATGAAAAGGAGTCCCATGTAAATAGAGTCTTATTGGGTGAATGAAGATGTAAATAGAGTCTTTAGTTGAGGTAAGTTCTTTCCTAATTCGCTTCAACCTCTTTTTTCTTTATACTATTTGGCAGTAGTTTCTTGACTCATTTCGGTGTAAGCAGGGCGTGAAAACACCGTTGAACGCACGAATATGGTTGTGTTTGATGATGATGTAACTGCACTTTGGTATTTTTTTCTTCCAGAATGAATACACTCTTTGCATTTTCATGTGTTCTGTTGTTTGTGACCAATTCCCTCATATCTTGTTTCATCTTGTCATAAAGATTAATAATTTTTTTATGGTTGGTGCTTTCAAAGGTTTAATGGTCTCTCTTTGTCATTCATTTCATAAAAATCGAGTGTTTAATGTAGTATGATTGATTTTATAACAATGTTTTTTTTTTCCCCGCAGGGATAGCTTCTTGGCAAATTACACAAATGCTACTAGAGTGTACTGGAACCCTTATTTTTATGAGATCATGTATCTGAAGAGAGAATTGTTGAGGCCCGCTTAGAGAAGATGAATATGATTTGGAGCTGTATTAGGGTAGTTAGGGCCATAGCTTCTGTATCTACTGGTTTTGGGCTATAAGTTGATGACAAATGTTTTGTTAGGTCCTTACTGGTGGTAATCATTCATATGTAATGGGGTACTTCATACTTAAGTTTGTATGGGTTGTTGGATGTTTTAACTTATATGGTGTATTAATTATTGATATATTAGTTATGACTTTCCGCGATGCTTACGCGCTGTATATGATATGCATGAGCTTGTATTAGTTATAATTATTAGGCGGATTATATGTTTGCTAATTATTCACAACAACATGAATGACTGATGAATGCTACATATATATATGCAGGGAACGTGTTCCCTGCATATATATATGGTTCAAGGAAGCATTAATATCAGCTTTAGCAGGGAACAGTCGATTGTTTGAGTACTCAACGTAAACATGATTATATGGTTCAAGGAAGCATTAATATTTTTTTTTTTGTATAGTAACAAAGGTGTTGGTGACGGTATTTAAATAGTTAACCTGTTAAATTTTTTTTCAGCTATTGAATAATTTTTCCAATCCAGCAAGTAATGCAAAAATTGATTTCTTGAGTTTCTAGTGTTATGTAGTTGGTTATTGTGGTCCTTTGTTATGAGTTAAATGGTATAATGTAATGGCCGAACTAAATATATCCTAATCATAATGTTATTCTATCAAGTTGATGCTGGTGATTGTACTTTGGTTCTGTTTTTGCCAAGGTACATTGACTTTTTTTGTTTTTTATTAATAAATAATGCAAGTAGGCATATAAAAGCTGAAAAAGTAGCCTGATTCATAGTTCCAAAGGAGTTCCCAGTGCAACAACTGTGTGGAACTAATCTGGTGGACAATTAGTTTGTATGATGTAAAATGAAGTTGTGAGCCCAAATTTTTTTTTTTTTACCAGAAAGATATTACCCAATTCATAGTGGTACTTTTGGACAGGATAGTGAATTTTGTCTCTGTCACTGTCATTGCTAATTAAAAGAATGTGGTAGCCAAATTTATTTAATATAATTTCTTATAACAATGTCTTTGAAGGTATTCTTAGTTTATCGATTTGCTTGCTACTGGTCATATATTATTTTTTTCATATTTTTCTGACTTCTGGATGCTAAATCATTAATGTGAAGATATGATACCATATTCTGTTTCCATTACTTTGTTCAGTATTGAACCTGTCATAGAGTGATGGGTCAAATCATTTTTGTGAGGGTCATATAGCGATGGTTCAAATCAGTATTGGTAGTTTGTTAGAGTCATGATAGATTCAGGGATGGCACATATCAGTAAATTAGTGTAGCAATAGGCCATTTTGTGTTGTCTTGAGTGTGTTGCTTATTATTATCTTTTTTGAGCAATGTGAAGGCATGGCTACAATGGATGATTACAGTCTGACATGTTATGCGTGTCGTTGGATCAGTGTGAATGCTCACTGCACTTTTGCATACAAAGGGAAAATAAGCAAAGCTTATTGTCTAAGCATGCATAAATGTCAGAACTTTTGGATATTGATTTCACAATGTGTGTTAGGTACTGAATTCATTAATTTTGTACAACTTTGCAAGTAAGTTAGTGTACCATGTCATGGTTCCTAGGGTTTGCTGATTTTCATGAATGGCAGCGACGTGCAAGAGATTTGTGTGGCATGCATATATCTTTTTACAGTCTGTTTATGTGGGTTGACTTTTTCGTAATACTCAATGAATCAATGAATTGAATTATTTTATGTAGCTGTCTTTTGTTGCCTTAGACAGATGATTCATTACTTTATTGATTGTGTTCGGGTTTAGTCATGTCAGCATGGTTGTGACATTTCTTATCAGAAGTTATAGGTTCATGCATAGATCATTATAAATTGATGTCAAGTGTTCGAATGTTTTCTACCTGTGTGGAGCTTCAGATCTTGTAACTTGAAAATCCAAACAGTTAATGACTATGTCTTCTTCAAATATATCAATGCTTAGAGTTGTTGATGATTCTACCGATCGTTGGAAGATTGTTGTTCGTGTTATTGGGAGGTGGAACGTATATCAAAAGGACTCACCCAATGACATTTTCTGTATTTGTTTCCTTCTCATCGATCATGAGGTTTGTTATAACAGCTATGAAATTAAATTGGCATATATTCAATGTGTTATTCATTTGTTTTATTTACAATGTTAACTTGTATATGCCATTACTTTGAATTATTAAGCTTATGCTAAATAAATGTTTGATGGATGGATACTTAAAAAATACAGGGAACAAGGATCCAAGCGGCTGTTACAAACAGGACTGCTTTCAAGTTGTATGAAGACAAGCTCTTGGAGGGGAAGGTTTACTTCATTGCTAATTTTTCTGTTGTTAGAAACACTAAGGGGTACAGGCCCACTAATCATTCATTCAAGATTACTATGGGTTATCGGACCTATGTCAAGGAAAGAGAAGCTGATATCCCTGAATATTCATACAATTTCTTACCTATTTCTGAGATTATTGAGCTCACCCGACAGAATAACATTGATTATCTGATTGGTGGGTATTCTAGATTGGATATGGTGTGTACTTTTAAAATTTTCTTAATAATATTTGTATGTAGAAAATAATTTTAAGCATCTAATTATTGTATTTATTGACAGATGTTATTGGATTTGTCACCACCGTTGGATCTCTTGAAGAGTGCCATTTCAATTCTGAGACAAACAATAGGATACGCTTGACTTTATCTGATAACCTGTATGAAACTTAAAAAATATTTGTGTTAACTTCACTTTTTCTTTGGGTAATGATAATTATGCATTGATCTTGCATTTTTTATGTCAGTATATTAACTTCATTGTCGCATGTTTAGGGAAAATTCTGTTTCTTGTGTTTTGTATGATGAGTGTGCAACAAATGTGTGCATGACTGATTTTACTAAGATGGACGCCCCAGTGGTCATTCTCATTCAACTTGCAAGGATTGGTTTTGATGAGAAAGGTGATCATTGTAGACATTTTTGATAGTTTGTTTGTGTAGTTTGCAAGATGCTAAAGATTAAGATGGTAAATTGTCATTTTAATATGCAGGGAAGGTAGAGATTTGTAGTGCTTTCCATGCAACTAAGATATCATTTAATATGAATTATCCAGAGGTTAGGCAATTTATTGAAAGGTATGAGTATTTTTTAATTTATGTTTATGTGTAATTTTCTTATGTTTTCCTAATGTCATGTTTTGATGAATTTCGGTAATGACAGTGTGATAAAGCCCAATTTTTATATATTTTATCCCACATTAATTTAGAATTTAAATGATAATTTTGAGCTTAAATGAACTTTTTATGCATTATTGAATTAATTGGTTGATTTTTAGATTTTGCATAAAAATTGAGATTTTAGATTAAAAATATAGATATTTTATGATTTCCTATTTTGACTTGGAATTAATTTTTCCTATTTCTTTGGAAACAAGTCTCATATTTTTAGAAAGACTATTCTTAGAAAGTTTTGCAATTTCTTGCCTAATTTTTGTGCATATCTGATATTTAATTTTCGATTATATTTGGATATAATCTACATTAATGAATGCACTTAAATTCTTGTAGGTCAAGAAAGAGCATATGGGGAATCCAATGGTGCAAGATTGTTTCTTGGGATTCAAGCACAATCCAATGGTTAATATCAAGTGGGTCAATTAATTACTAATGGGCTTGAGTTTTGGATCCACAAAAATTTCCTTTTCCCTCATTATATTATTTTCCTTATTTTTGGAGAAGGGTTCACGCCAAATCATACCTTTTGATTCTCCATTGATTCACGCACGGATATAAGTTTTGGACGCCAATTCTCCTCCCCCTCATTCACGTCATTCACCCACCAATTTCAATCATTCCTCCCCTTTCTCATTGCACGGCCAACTCCCATCTACATCTTATCATTCATGGCTATGGCATCTAATAACCTTGGAGGAGGAGACATTTTGATGGAAGCTTAAGCTTCTTTGGGAGGCAACTTGGGAGGAGCATGGAAAAGACTTGAGCCTTGGGCTAGCACTTGAAGACCACAAGGGAGTGATGTTCCGTTCATCTTTTTAATTCAAGGACTTGAAATTATTTAGTTTTAAATAATTTTAAGTTGTAATTTTGTGAGACAATTTAGTTCTAGATTGTCATCTTTATGCTTGGATTGGATTGATATTTGGATTTTATTTTTGTTGAGACACTTGTTGGAATTTATGTTTAGAACCTTTGCATTGTTAATTGAATTTATAATTGAGTTTTCGTTATGAGTTTAATTATCAGTGTGGTTTGAATTGCAAAATTTGGGTTCTTTCACCTCTTAATTGTTTAATTAAGTTGGTTGATTATCTGATTGTTTAATTGGATAATTTGAAACATAATTTCCAAAATTAAATTGAATTATCTTCATTGGTTTTAATAGGCTTAATTAACCAACCTTACTCTGTTATGAGTTCTCTAATAGTTTAAGGGTTTTTGAAGTTGAGGGTTCCCTTTATTTCAAGTAGGTAATTAAGTTTATTAATTCCACTCTCTTATCACCTCCCTTTGATCTAATTAACCGATTAAGGTTATGAAAGTTAAATTCATGCGAATCCTGAGTTGTCCCCTCTACCGTACCTGAAGAGAATCTCTGAATTTTTACTTGTTAACTCTCTTTGCTTTCTGATTAATTTTCTTTATCCATTATTTTTATTTTCTTTCAAAAAACCCCCCAAAAATTACATTGCATTCATTTAGTTTAATTTAATTTTCATACATATTTTAGAGCATTTGCATCTTGCATTTAGAATTAGAATTTTGTATTTTAGTTTAGGTCCAATTTATTTTATTTTATTTATCACCTGAATTTTTACCTAAAGAAACCCATAACTTGCTCCTTGGAAGTAATGACCTAGGTCGACCCTAAACTACAAATTAATTGGGACCTAGTTTAATTGAGTGCTTTGACGACAAAAGGCATCATCAATTTTGGCGCCGTTGCCGGGGAGCAATGGTTAAACTTGAGGTTTGAGTTCTAGGTGATTTCTCTTGTTTTTCCTGCATTTTTTTTCTTTGTATTTTATTTTCTCTTTATTACCTGTTCTATTTTCGGTTGATTTTGCTAATTTATCCTGCTCTGAAAATTAACTTTTCACTGCCCAGATTTTTGTAAGATTTGGGTTCTTAACATCTTTGGGTGTGCTGATCAATTTTGATACCTTTTGGTATCAGGGCTGGGTTATTTTAGCCAAATTCAACCATTTTCATTGAGTTTTCTTTTTTTTTTTTTCGAATTTTCTTTATTTTTTTTTTCAATTTTCCAGGTTTTTCTTCTTTAGTTTTTCTGAATTTTTTCAGCCTTCTTTGGCTAGTTTAGTTTTTCTTTTCCTTTTATTTGTGTTGATGTTCTTGATCTTAAATTTATGATGGCTTGGAATGCTTCTCCTTATGAAAATCATTCTTATATTTCTATGCCTTATCATTATGTCCATGATGTGACACAGGGATATGATCCATATTCAAGAATAGAGAGTAGGTTGGAGACTATGACTAATGTTCCAATGTGGCAAGATTACTCAAATCTTGGATATGTCCATGAAGTTATGCCTATTCAAGAAGACTTAAAGTTAGAGAACAGGCTGGAGAATATGATGCAAATCCTACTAAACAAGTTTGAAGAAAGGGAATTGCGACACAATCAGGCGATTCAGACTCTAAAAACTCAAATCAAGCAGTTGTCTAATGCAATTAGCAATTTGCAAAGTGATGAATTAGAAGTTAATGGTGAACTATCGTGTGGTAATGCTGTTTCACCTTCCAATGATTCATATCCTTTTGCTTCCACCATCTCACATGATGACATGAATAGTAATTTAACTGAATATACATGCACTGATGATGTTTTTGGATTGACTGGTTCTATTGGGTCAAATAATGTTGCATCATGCAATTCATGCGTTGACACTTCTTCCTATGCCGCTGATCCAAATTCTTTTGATGTTGTTGGCTCAATAGAGAATTTTAAGCAAGATGACTCTGATGATGAAATTGATGAAGAGATTATTGTTGAATTCCCATCCATTATTGAGTTCAAAGATAATACATCCTCTTTGAGTGTTGATGCTCATTTGTGTATTAATGCTTTACATGATAAAGGTAGTGTTTTTGATTCTACTGATATTACTTGTGTCCTTGACATGACTGTTGTTAATGAGGATGTTGTTGAGAATAAATGTGGGGGAAATCTTGAGTTGGATGTGTACTTAAACAGTAAGGACATGTTGCTTGATCAGACTTCACATGTAGGATTTGCTTTGTGTAATGATGATGATGAGCATGGGGAGACCATTTTGAGCAATCACCTGTCACTTCATTTTCTAACAAACTTGACTCTTACTGAGGAGAGTCATATTGATTTTGTGGGTTGTTCAAAATATTTGGGAGTTTCAAGTCTTTGTTTTCATCAATTTATTTTGGGATCTTCTTTAATTGCTAAAAGTTTGTTGAGTTTATTGATTATATTTTACGAGACAGGATATTGCTTGGAGTCATGGTTTTGTGCAGGTATATGAATTGATTCCTCCTATCCAGACACCTTCCATACTTGAATTAAAGCGTTTTTTGAGGATCTTAAAGAAGGAGATAATGTCTTTTGAACATCAAAAGCAAATACCAATGGTGCTTTCATGTGACTTGCCACCAGACAAAGGAGATATGCCAACTCTACTGCTTCATTTGGGTCTTCAAACTTCTGCTCATCTGGTCGTATTCCTTCCTTCCTCTTTTACTTGCGTTACTTGTTGGTATTGGTTAGATGTACATTTCACATTGAGGACAATGCATGGTTTAAGTGTGGGGGAGGGATATTATTCCTACTTTTGGTTTTTGTTTTTTGTTTTTAAAATGAGGAAAAGAAAAATATTTTGGTTTTTACTTTGGTTTTTGTTTCTTATTTTCAAGAAAAGAAAGAAATTTTCTGTTCAAAATTTTTTGTTTGTTTGTTTGTTTTATTCTGAATGTGAAGATTGCAAGTTTGAAGTGATTCAAGTACGATGCATTCTTGATTTGAAAAGTGATTGATCATGTTTTGAGCAAATAAGCTAAGTGGCAATGGATTTGACTTAGGTGAATTTAAGCTAGCAATCATGTACCTAGTGAGGTTTTGAGCCTGATGCATTTCTTCTTTTCATGTGTGTACATCCCTATCTCTTTCCTTGATCTAGAACTTGACTTGAATCTTGTTTGAGACCAAGTTTGTGCATTTGCATTCATAAAGATGATAAAGGCATTCATTTTAATTTTTCTAGCCAGATAAGCCAAAAGCCTACCCTTTTCTACATTTATCCTTTGCTTAACCCCTTTTGAGCCTTCATCATTTTTTTTCTCTTAACCCATAGCCAAAAAAAAAATCTTACCCTTTTTGAATGTCTTAGGAGTTGAAGAGTGTTATATTATATGTGCTTGGGATGGAGGAACACATTTGGAGTTATGGTTTGGGTCAATTTGAAAAAAAGAAAAAAAAAATTGTAATAAGATTCCGCTCCTCTAGTTTAAGCTGAGCTTAGTAACTGAGGATCTTCATCACCAATGTTGATTTTCGCGTCAAACGGCCAGTAAAGGCTATGAGCGTGCTAGTAGCATCTTAGTGCCAATGAGTTATCCATGCTTGAGTAACCGGGCCTTTTTATCACCAATATGAAGGTTCGCGTCAAAAGAGCATATACATAACGGCCTAAGAAAGTCTAAAAAAAAAAAAGTGCTTGAAAATAAAAAGAGAAAAAAAAAAGAAAAAGAAAAAGAATGACCCAATTCAAGTTTAGTTTAGTTTCTTACATTCCATTATATTTTTTTTATTGACTCTCTTCATTTTCTAAGATGTTCAACTTTGTTTTCCCAAACACTTTATCCGTTCTCTATTTACCTTAGCCCCATTACAACCTAATAAAAGTCCTTTTGATTTATGCTTGTAATTACTTTATGATTGGTGGAGAATTTAGATTCTTGTCAAGCCTATGGAAAGAGGATTGGGTAGGATGAATTTGAGTGTAAATACAAGCCAATACACTTTTGAGTGATGAGTGACATACACATTAACCTTAGTAAGGGATTTCTGACTTAGATTCCCCTTTGTCAAGTAAATTGCCATGATGTTTGTTTTCTTGATTCATGAAAAGATTATTTGGATAAGAGAGATGTTGGATGCTTTGACTTGTTTTTTGCTTGTGATTGGAACATTCTCTTTTATTTGATTTTCTTTTGTTTTTCTTATTACTCTTTGGTCTTCATTTGCTTTGTCCAGGAGTGCAAAGGCTAAGTGTGGGGGAATTGATAAAGCCCAATTTTTATATATTTTATCCCACATTAATTTAGAATTTAAATGATAATTTTGAGCTTAAATGAACTTTTTATGCATTATTGAATTAATTGGTTGATTTTTAGATTTTGCATAAAAATTGAGATTTTAGATTAAAAATATAGATATTTTATGATTTCCTATTTTGACTTGGAATTAATTTTTCCTATTTCTTTGGAAACAAGTCTCATATTTTTAGAAAGACTATTCTTAGAAAGTTTTGCAATTTCTTGCCTAATTTTTGTGCATATCTGATATTTAATTTTCGATTATATTTGGATATAATCTACATTAATGAATGCACTTAAATTCTTGTAGGTCAAGAAAGAGCATATGGGGAATCCAATGGTGCAAGATTGTTTCTTGGGATTCAAGCACAATCCAATGGTTAATATCAAGTGGGTCAATTAATTACTAATGGGCTTGAGTTTTGGATCCACAAAAATTTCCTTTTCCCTCATTATATTATTTTCCTTATTTTTGGAGAAGGGTTCACGCCAAATCATACCTTTTGATTCTCCATTGATTCACGCACGGATATAAGTTTTGGACGCCAATTCTCCTCCCCCTCATTCACGTCATTCACCCACCAATTTCAATCATTCCTCCCCTTTCTCATTGCACGGCCAACTCCCATCTACATCTTATCATTCATGGCTATGGCATCTAATAACCTTGGAGGAGGAGACATTTTGATGGAAGCTTAAGCTTCTTTGGGAGGCAACTTGGGAGGAGCATGGAAAAGACTTGAGCCTTGGGCTAGCACTTGAAGACCACAAGGGAGTGATGTTCCGTTCATCTTTTTAATTCAAGGACTTGAAATTATTTAGTTTTAAATAATTTTAAGTTGTAATTTTGTGAGACAATTTAGTTCTAGATTGTCATCTTTATGCTTGGATTGGATTGATATTTGGATTTTATTTTGTTGAGACACTTGTTGGAATTTATGTTTAGAACCTTTGCATTGTTAATTGAATTTATAATTGAGTTTTCGTTATGAGTTTAATTATCAGTGTGGTTTGAATTGCAAAATTTGGGTTCTTTCACCTCTTAATTGTTTAATTAAGTTGGTTGATTATCTGATTGTTTAATTGGATAATTTGAAACATAATTTCCAAAATTAAATTGAATTATCTTCATTGGTTTTAATAGGCTTAATTAACCAACCTTACTCTGTTATGAGTTCTCTAATAGTTTAAGGGTTTTTGAAGTTGAGGGTTCCCTTTATTTCAAGTAGGTAATTAAGTTTATTAATTCCACTCTCTTATCACCTCCCTTTGATCTAATTAACCGATTAAGGTTATGAAAGTTAAATTCATGCGAATCCTGAGTTGTCCCCTCTACCGTACCTGAAGAGAAATCTCTGAATTTTTACTTGTTAACTCTCTTTGCTTTCTGATTAATTTTCTTTATCCATTATTTTTATTTTCTTTCAAAAAACCCCCCAAAAATTACATTGCATTCATTTAGTTTAATTTAATTTTCATACATATTTTAGAGCATTTGCATCTTGCATTTAGAATTAGAATTTTGTATTTTAGTTTAGGTCCAATTTATTTTATTTTATTTATCACCTGAATTTTTACCTAAAGAAACCCATAACTTGCTCCTTGGAAGTAATGACCTAGGTCGACCCTAAACTACAAATTAATTGGGACCTAGTTTAATTGAGTGCTTTGACGACAAAAGGCATCATCACAGTGCAAAGACATTTCCCTCTCCAACAATCAGTACGATATCTGCAAGTGTTGCATCTCAAACTTCCAATCCTTTTGAAAGCACTCTTCTTAGTAGTCACCCTTTAATTCCCATTGCTGATATACCAAAACAGAGTGTGGTATATAAATACTTGATTCGTTAATTTTTTTGTTTGCTTATTTTTCATATAACTAAGGAATACATTTTTGTGATTTATTGCATTGGTGTAGGATGATTTTTTCCTGATTAAGTGTAAGGTTATCAAGCTAGAGACTACTCATGATTGGAAATATGAGGCATGTACAAGGTGCGGCTGTAAGCCAAAGGAAGAGGCTGGGAAGAAGACATGTTTGAGCTCAGTGTGTAGGAAGAGGCCATTGTATTTCGAGTGGAAGTAATGATATTGCAATTATTATTGACTATTGATGTTATATAATTTTGTGTGACATCGATTGGCATGAATTTATGTAATTTTTGTTTCATGCTTAGGATGAGGGTGCATTATACAGTGGAAGATGAGTCAGGAAGAGTTGTTGTTGCGTTCTTTGACAAGCTGGTTAGAGAATTTGTTGGTAAAACTCTTGCACAATTGGAAGAGGAGCTTATCAAGGTTGAATCATAATATTCAATGACTAATGCTTTATGTGAATGAGTTAACGGGTTAAATATTTAGGTTACTCCATTTATGCAGAAGGAGCGTCACTATGATTTTCCTGAAGACCTGGACATTCTTGTTGGTAAGACACTACTATTGAAGCTGAAACTCAAGAAGTATAATGCTGAATTCCCAAATTCAAGCATTTCTGTATCTTCTTACACTCATATTGCGGATCTTATGGATGAATTTAACAAAGTAAGATTATATATATTAAACTATTTTGTTTTGTGTTTTTATATGTTATTATCAATTTATGTTGTAATTCAAAATTTTTATGATGTCATTATTATTATTATTTTTTTGCCAAGGTTGGAGAGACAAGTGAATATGTTGCGGATAAGGTATATAAATGGTTATTATAATAATCTTTTAGATTCTTATCATAGAGTAGAGATTTTTAAATGTGATTTTAATGTTTCATGTAGGATTCTCAGTATGTAATAGTTGATGAAGAGTTGACTGAGGGCAGTGTTGTCCCCGAGTCAGTACCATGTGTTACTAATGCCAGTATTGATTTTGAGTCTGTGACATGTGTTTCTGAGCCCAATATTATCCCCGACTCTGTGCAACATATTACTGAGGGAAGAAAGGAGGAGCATGCTGATCTAGATGAGGTCCCTTTATCTCAAATCAATCCAACAGCAACATATAAAGGAAAGAGAAAGATTGGTGCAAAAAAGAGTTCTGTTGTCAAATCCAAGGATGTGATTAAGTCCGACGTATCACCTGTGAAGAATGCTTGGAAACCTTTGAAGGCTATCAAACAGGAGAAGAACTGAGGACTTGAAGTTATTCCTGTTGCTTTTGTTTTCAAGAATAGGTGGAATCACCTTTGTTATGTATTACTTTCCTTGTCTGTATTTTGCTGTCATGGTCGTGTCTGCAGCAATTATGCTAAGTTGTTGTTTGCATCAGTTATTTTGGCCTTCAGTGGCATTGTTTGTAGAAGTTACTTGACTTATCTGTCATTGTAATGGGGGATGAATTCATGTCATATTATGCATGTACTATGTCAAATTATGAAATGCAGTAATATTATGGTATTTAGCTACTTACGAAAACTTAGTGTGTGTTTTATCTAGATAAATTTCATGAAAAAATTTGCCAATCCAATTTAATATAGTTTGATAAGTAGTGCTTTAAATTTTCATAGTTATCCAAATTATGAGTCAAGTCAGTCAGGTTTATGCAATAGAGATGTTATAGCTATTTATGTTAGATTAATGGTGGTCTTTCTGGTAATATCGATCAAAATTTTGATCATAGGATGTCAATTTTTATCCAATTATATTCATAGCTTAGTCACTGGCAGAATGTTATATATATTAGTGAGATTTGTAATGTCGAAATGAGCTTTTTTCTATAGTATCTTGGTTTACTTTATAATTAATGGGAGCTGTTGATAAAATAAGGATACCTGTAGTGACACTGAAGTAATGTTAATGACCATTTACATACTCTAATTTTGTAATTTTTTTCAAATATAACTATTCTAATTGAAATTCAAGTATCTAAATAATTCCAGATGCTGGTGAATTTATGTGTTTTTTATAAGGAAGACATCGATTACATCAGCAATCATTCATGCACATACAGTGATGGGAATAATCATTCTTTATAGTCATATCTATTTTTTTTTACTGTCATATATGGTAAGTATGCTTATTTGTTAGATTACTATCATCTTTCGTATCATGTGAAGGAAAACATTACATAAGAAGAGAAAACTATGAAGGGATTGGTAATGGTGAATGACTGAGTAGGGTGCTACTGTCCATATGATATATTTTGTGTAATATATATATATATTATTTTTCAAATATATAGAAGGGCTGAACAAAACTGACATATGCAGCACTTGTCATGTCTAAGGATAGGGTCTATGATGACTTGTGATATACACATGTGGTGGTAAGAAGATTATAATATCTTATACTTATTGCAGGACGCAATGCAGAGAGAAGTTACGCATATGTAAGCTTCATGGTCTGAACTTTTCAATAAGTATATATTGAAGAATCATTGGTTTTAAAGTAAATTGGTCACAACAAATTAGATCTTAGTTTTCACTTTGTGTTTAGTCATGGTTAGGAGAAGAGTCATCAAGGACCAGGATGATACTGTTGATTCTGACAGTAATTTTGCTGATTATGTCCTATCTTCATCTATGAGTTTGATACCCAATTCTTCATGTGCAGTTTCTAATCCAGAGATAAGTAAGTGTCTAACTTAGAACTGATTTGTTGTTGTAGTTTATTTTTTTGTGATGGCTATTTTGACATTACCTCTAGGTGGTTCAGCAATCATGAGAACAAATTCATCGGGCAATGTTTTAGCTTTGAACAAGTTAATTAATCAATCTCCTTATACTCCCGGTATGATTTATTTTTTTTTAAGTTTTTAATGTACATTTGGTTTTTTTTTTTCAATTTAAGTACTGAGTTTATATGAAATATGAAAATAGTCTGATTTGGTGATGAGGGTGCTAATTACGACTTCAATGCTGTGAATATAGAATCTATGGAAGGGAAGGAGAACTTGTATGATGAGAATAGGATACTTTTGAGAAATACTGATGCTAGATCAACTGTTACGAACAATGGATTATTTGGATGCAAACGAAGAGGAAGAGCTATTGCTTTACAAGAGATGACTAATATGGCTTCTAACCTTGAATTCAGCTTTCAAGAGTTATCTAAATCTGGTAATATGACAAGTTTTATTTATAACAGAACCATACAGAGGGGTATCATTTATTGTATGAGTTTTGTAAATCTGGGATATTTGTGTATAGGTGATATACAATCGAACGGCACAAGTGGTAAGAAGGCTCGGAAGAGGTTATCATGTGTCAAGAATGATAAGTTCCCAAGTCAGTTAACAATGTCTGATTGTGACAGCACAATGCTTTGTACAAATAGTCGGCCTCAAACATTAACACCTTCCTGTTCAGCTACATTAAATCTGGGGAGCTCTGTTCCAGGTTTTATTTCATATTGTATTATTAACTCCTTCCTATTCAGCTATATTAAATCTGGGTAGCTTTGTTCCAGCTTTTATTTTATACTGCATAACATCTTACATGTGTGGTGTTCTGGAATATTATTTTGATTACAGGTAATTGGTTTGTTGAGGTTCTTTTATCTTGTCTGTTGTTTCTTCAATTAATTTCAAATTTATCTTTGTATTAATCTTGTCTATAATTAGTCTTTTGTGATGTTCCCATAATCGATGTTCATATATTCAGTTTAATTGTGTATACCGGTCCATGTTAACTATTATTACTGACTTAATTTTATTCTGATATACCATTGATTATGTTTCATGGTTCATTTGCTTAATACACAACTTTTTTAAGTTAAAGGTGCTGCTAGAAGTAGCAAGAGGAGTTCATTTTTTTCTTCGGAAGAATTAATGCATCAATTCTCTGAAATGGGACGCTCTCATAATACATTTAGACCAGAGAGTGTTAATGGTTCTCAGCATTATGATTTAGTGTCAGGTATGTCTTTCCTTGGCTATGTTGGTAACCAAAATTAGTCATAGGGATATTCAAATTTATTTTTTGCTTGTCTTTATTGTCGTATACAATTATCTCATAGTAAATGGTTTTTATTGATAGTTGGGTTTGGAATGATGTCTATGTTTTCAAATTATTGCCATGCTGCGTGTAAACATCTTAGTTATGCTTTATGTTAATATTTGCTTTAAAATTTGTCAAGTTATTCAACAGGGTCATCGAGGTGTTAAAGATACATCCTTATGTAGTTTAAATTGGGTATGTTGAGGCGTGGCCCAATACGTTTGATAGGATGGTGGACTTCAGTATTTTAGGTTACTAAATTTTGGTTAGCCCAAACACCGAATAAAAACTATAGGTTAATTTAGTAAGTCCAGGATTTCTTTATTAGCCTAGTATTCAGTATGTTCAATTTAGATACATTCAAAAAAAAAAATTGGGCTGATAAGGAAGATGCATGATTTGAATGTTTATTTCTTACTTCGATGATTTATTATAAGTTTAGTATAAATGGTACTTAATATAGTAATTCGAGTTATAAATATATATATCAATAAATTAAAAATAAATAAATAGAAATATAAGAAAGTATGAAATGTTTCTTATCTTATAATTTATTAATTTAATTAAAAAATCTAAAAAATATAAAGGTAACAAGTATGAAATTGTTTCGTTATAAATTTTTTTAGCTTTAAATTGAAGAGAACAGTTACCTGAGTCAACTACTCAAAATTAATGTGACATTTTTATTATGTTTTAATTACCCTAAAAAAATAAAGATAGAAACAAAAAAAAACTTCTTATTTACAAAAAGGAAAAAATAAATTGTTTGCAAAGGTGGACTTGATCTAGGATAAAAACCTAGGACCTACGTACCTTTTAGAGGGATCAAAACCCACGTAGTTCAGAGATAAAAATGCTTGTCACTTGTTTGTCATTTTTTAGAAAATATTTATTCAATTAATAAAGGTGTTCTTTTGTGGATTGATATTTTTTAATACATGAAAATAATTTTTGTATTTTTATTTAGAAAATATTGTTTTGAAAGAAATTTTGGATTACTCTTCCTGCGGAGATTTTCATAACCTCACACAGAGAATAATCATTCGAGCTTGCAGAGGTTCTAAAAACCTCACACAGCTTTGAAAAATATTTTAAGATTATGTATATACATATTTTTTAAAAATTTTTTTAATTATTCATTTATAAACATGTGCCCAAAATTTTTTTCTTTCTTTTTATTTCAAAAGGAAAACTTGCACAACCATATTGGTATCCCTACGGAGACTACTATAGTCTCATACTGTTTATCAATAAATTTAGATACCTACAAAGATTCTGAAAGCCTCACATGGTACATATTTTAAAAAAAAAAGCGCCTTTAAAAATAGAGAGAAAGAATACCGAAAAACAATTTATTGAAATTCAAGTTAAACACAGTAGCTAAAAATGAAAGTCTATACCTAATGCTCTATTTATTAATTGGCTTATCTTCTTTTTTATGAAAAAAATTTTGAGAGTCTTTCTTCAACCTTTACTCTCTAATTTATAGACTCTACTTAGGGTTTTTTAATTTTTCTTTAAATTTTATTTTTTAATTTTTTTAAATTATGACTCATAATATAACTTCTTATTTACTAAATCGTCATCAAATTGGGATTTTTTTTTATTCTCATCCTTTCTAAATTTTTACAATTATGAACCCAAAAGGCATTTCTAAATTGAGGAGTCAATTATCTTTAATAAGGAACTTTGATTTTCATTTTTAAATTTTCTTATTTTATTTTTTTAAAGACTCTACCTTGTATTTTCTAATTTGGAGGTCAATTAGCTTTTAATTCTTATTTTTTATTTTATTATCATTTATTGTAAGAGGGATATTCTTATTTACTTTTTCCTTTTTAATTTGCCACATAGTGGATTTCTCAAACTTAGCTTTCAAGAAAAAAACAAGGAGGATATTATTCTTTTATTTCTTCTTAATTTTTTATTTTCATTTAATATTTTTGTGGGCCACGGACAAAATTGGGTGTTCCGAATGGGCTATTTAACGGGGCAGTCATTGAAATGAGCTAATTAGCCGAAGTATTTGGATTTTTTTCCCAATATTGGTCAAAGGATGGAAAAATATGTTACGTTATTTGATATGTTTTCAAAAAGAGCAGTGATAATTGTGATTAATTTTCCATATCGCGAGGAACACTGTAAGTAGTACTTTAGTCCCAAAGTATTTAGTGTCTATATATATATTAGTATTAAATTGTAAACTTGTCGATGTTATAAAAAATGTGTAGTATCTCATCTTTTATTATGCATTACTAATGTAGTATCTCAACTAAGATAAAACAATATTGCTTAGAAATAAATTGTGATATAATTGATATATATTCTTATTATGTGTGATTTATATATTGAATATTTATGTAGTGATCTATTTTATGTTGTAATAGGACCAATAGATTTGCGGTACAATGATGTACATTTTGCATATAATGGGAACCATAGCATTGATAGTGAAAGTGATGGTAATTTGTCAGATCAGTCTGAAGGTAATGATATGTATTTTTTATTTTGCATGATTATTTGTATTATTACCATTATTTGAATTGTCTCCTATATGCAGTTGATGAATCAGGTGGTATGCATTTCATATCTAACATGGTGCATATTTCTAGTGAGGATAATTCTTCCAACCCCCATTCATTAGTCGGTATGATTAGTGTCTGTTTCTTGTGTTAGTTTGTTTGAAAAGTCTTGTCAATACATGTATTATTAATTTATACCTTGCCCTATACAGATTACATAGATGAGGGTGATCCAACTTATAGATGTCAATCATGTGGTGCTATGATGTGGTTCAATGAGAAAGTTGGGAATTGCAAATCAATAATGACTCCTAGATTTTCAATGTGTTGTTTGAATGGAAAAGTTCAGCTTCCATTGATAACTCCACCTCCTGAATTGTTCATCAAGTTATTCTTTGACAAAACATCAGCTGAATCAAAGAATTTCCATTTGAATGTGAGGTCTTACAATAACATGTTTTCTTTTACTTCAATGGGAGGCAAGATTGATCATTCAATGAATCGTGGAGGCAGTCCATACACCTTTGTTCTTTCTGGTTTGAACTATCATAAGATTGGCAGTTTGTTACCTCCAGAAGGTGCAAAGCCTGTGTATTCTCAGCTATATATATATGATACTGAGAATGAAGTTTCAAATAGAATATCTGCCGTCAGGTATGCATTGTTATTTTACTAACTGTCATAATATTTATGTCCTTATTATTAACCTATATGTTTACTTATATTTTTATTATCTTGGTACAGCAAGCATATAAAGGAGAGCACTATTGATCCTCACATTGTTGACAAAATAAAAGATGTTCTTGATGAGGTTAATCCACTTGTCAAACAATATCGGTTGGCGTCTTCAATGATAAATGTGCCACAACATTCTGAGTTGAAGTTATGCTTAATCAGTACCAGAAATCAAGATGGGTGTAATTATAACTTGCCATCTGCATCTGAGGTTGCAGCTTTAATAGTTGGTGACATTGATAGGAATTTTAGTAGAAGAGATGTAATTGTTCATGAATTGTCAGGTTCACCTCAACGTATAGATGAGCTGCATCCATCATATCTCCCGCTTCAATATCCGATTTTGTTTCCAAGAGGTGAGGATGGTTATAGAGATGATGTTGAACATCGTGCAGAGACTCTTAGTAGAACCAGAAAGAAGAAAATGCTTAGCATGAGGGAGTATTTTGCATATAGACTGATGTCAAGGGAAAATGAAATGTCAGTATTGCTACATGCAGGAAAACTATTCCAACAATTTATTGTTGATGGATACACAATGATTGAATCACAACGATTATTATGGGTGAGGACACACCAGAAGGAACTAAGGGCTGATTTATATCAAGGGTTAACAGATGCGTTATTAAGTGGGGAAAGGAATGCTTCATCAGTTGGGAAACGTGTCATAGTGCCTTCATCATTTACTGGGGGCGCACGATATATGCTTGGAAATTATAAAGATGCCATGGCTCTTTGTAGATATTTTGGATACCCAAGCATTTTCATTACATTTACATGTAATCCAGCATGGCCTGAAATAACAAGGTATTGTGAGGGTAATTCTTTATTATCATCCAATAGGCCAGATATTTTGTCACGAGTATTTCATATGAAGTTGAAAGCCTTGATGTCAACAATTAAGAAGAAGAAGATATTTGGCAGAGTTTGTGCAGGTATATGAATTCTACATCTTGCTTTACTTTTTGTAGTGATAATGACATTAAAATGACTAATTATTTTATCAAAATTTTATTCCTTTCTTGTGTAGATGTATACACCGTAGAATTTCAAAAAAGGGGGTTACCTCATGCACACATTCTGTTGTTTCTTGATAAAAATGATAGACCTAAAGATGCAAATGATGTTGACAAAGTTATATCTGCAGAGATACCGGATGAGGAACAAGATCCTGTTTTGTTTGAACTAGTGGAAAAGTTTATGGTACATGGACCATGTGGTCATTTGAATAGGAAATCACCTTGCATGAAAGATAATAAGTGCAGCAAGTATTTTCCTAAAAGATTTGTTGACAACACAAGCATTGATGATGACGGTTATCCAACGTACAGGAGAAGAAATGATGGGAGAACTGTAGAAATAAGAGGTATTCGTTTGGATAATCGCTTTGTTGTTCCGTATAACCCATCTTTGTTGCGGCAATTCCAAGCTCATATCAACGTTGAGAAGTGTAATCAATCTTCTGCTATTAAGTACTTATTTAAGTACATTAGCAAGGGTAATGATCGTGTGGTGGCCTCTATTTATGATACTTCACAACATCACAATGGTGAACTATCGTTTGATGAGATTCAACAATATTACAACTTCCGATATATTTCTGCATGTGAAGCTGCTTGGAGGATTTTTGCCTTTGAAATTCATCATAGGTATCCCGCTGTTGAAAGGTTGAGTTTCCACTTGCCTAATCAACAATATGTTATATATTCTACTGGTGATGATGTATCTGAACTTGTAGATAAACCAAGGGTGTGTGAATCAATGTTCCTTGCATGGATGGAAATAAATGTACATGATGTGTTTGCTAAAACATTGACTTACTCTGAATTTCCTCATCATTATGTGTATATTAGAACTAAACGAGCTTGGAAGCGAAGGGAAAAGGGGTTTGCAATTGGAAGGATTACTCATACTCCACCTTCTTCTGGAGAACTCTACTACCTTCGTATTCTAATTACTAAGGTTAGAGGTCCAACTTCATATGAGGATATTAGAACTGTGAATGGTGTTCTTTATCCCAGTTTCCGAGCTGCATGTTATGCCCTTGGATTGCTAGATGATGATAATGAATACATAAATGGCATCAAGGAGGCATCATTATGGGCTTCAGGTTCAATGTTAAGGAAGATGTTTGTTAGCCTGCTTCTTTGTTCATCATTAAGTCGGCCTGATTATGTATGGAAAGAGACATGCAAATTATTGTATGAGGATTTGTTATACATTCCGTGTAATGATCCGATGTCTACATGTGAGTTTCCAATATATCTTTTATGCTTTAGTTGTATCTTAAAGTTTTATTGTGTTGTTGCATTAAACTTTATGAATAACGAAGTATGTAGTTGATTCATGTTGTTCTTGTGTCTACAGGTATATCTATTTCAGATACCATGAAAGAACAAGAAGCGCTGAAAGAGATTGAATTATTGCTTCAACAGAATGGCAAGAGTCTTATTAACTTCCTATCGCTTCCTTGTCCTCCGAAATGCGTAAACCTGGATGTAAGAAATCATTTGATCTTACAAGAATTGAATTATGATCGTGATGTGTTATTAGATGAGTCAAGCAGGCTTATGAATCTGTTGAATATGGAGCAAAGAAATGTTTTTGAAGTAGTGATGTCTTCAATTAATTCTAAAACTGGAGCATTTTTCTTTGTATATGGGTACGGAGGGACAGGAAAGACATTTCTGTGGAATGCATTAACATCAACAATTCGTGCTAGAGGTGATATTGTCTTAACAGTTGCATCTAGTGGCATAGCTGCTACTCTATTACCATCCGAAAGAACAGCTCACTCAAGGTTTGCAATCCCTATACAAGTCAATGAAGATTCTGTTTGTAATATCAAACAGAATTCACCTTTGGCTAATCTTATTATAGCTACAAAGTTGATTATATGGGATGAAGCTCCGATGGTTTAGCGTTTTTGTATTGAAGCTTTTGATCGAACATTAAAGGATATTATGCATTCAAATCATCCTTTTGGTGGAAAATGTGTATTAATGGGTGGTGACTTCCGTCAAATTCTCCCTGTTATTCCACGAGGTACAAGAGCTGATATTGTTAATGCATGCATTAACTCTTCATATTTGTGGGAGTATTGCACAATTTTCCATTTGACAAAGAATATGCGTTTGTCTTCATCGTCATCTAATGATAGTTGTGATCGGATACAAAAGTTTTCACAATGGCTTTTGGACATTGGTGAGGGTAAGGTAGGTATGTCGCATGATGGTGTAGCAGAGATAGAGATACCATCTGAATTGTTGGTTGATAGTTGTGAAGAACCAATTTGTGCCATTGTCTCATCAACTTATCCAGATTTGTTCAGTAACTTGAGCAGTACCTCTTACTTCAATGATAGAGCCATATTAGCACCTACAATTGATGCTGTCAATCAAATCAATGAATATATGTGTACAATGATGCCTGGTGATTCTGTTGACTACTTTAGTTGTGACTCAATTTGCAAAACATCTCAAGATGAAGATGGTGTTGAAGATCTGTATACTCCTGATTTTTTGAACACTATAAATTGTTCTGGATTACCAATGCATAAACTAACTTTGAAGGTCGGAATGCCAGTCATGCTATTAAGGAATATTGATCAAGCATCTGGGTTATGTAATGGGACTAGGCTACGCATTACTCATCTTGGTAAATCTGTTGTTGAGGCAGTGACATTGAATGGATCTAGGCCAAATGAGAAGGTTTTAATACATCGAATGGATATGAATCCTTCTGATAGTTGTTTGCCATTTATCATGAAACGAAGACAGTTTCCCATTACTGTTTCATTTGCCATGACAATTAATAAAAGTCAAGGTCAGTCACTTCATTTTGTTGGCTTGAGTAAACTTATAAAACGTAGTTTCGGGCTAAGCCTAGATTTAATGATATAGGAATGATATAAATGTGATCTGAATAAAATATTAATCTGAGGTGTGTTTGAGGTTTGTATTTTAGATGATGTTGATCTTCTTGAGTTTGATGATGTTCATTGATGTTCCTTATTTTAAGTTCAATTGATGATGAACTAGATGTTTGGCATTATGATTTGAGAAGTGTCATGAGACAAGAGAATATACAATAGCTATAAGCTAGCTTAGAATCCTGAATAGATAAGAGAAAGTACTATGAGACAATAAACTGAAAGGGATGAAGACCTGAGAAACTCATTATGAATAGAGAACCTCTTGGATATGTTGTCATAAACCAATATTTGAGCCCAAGAGATAGTCTAGACTTGTGAATCTAGTATACATGATTATGAGAATTGGGTACGAAGCTAGAGGATTTTTAATAAATTAGAATAAGAGAGCTAATGATAAGCTTGATGCCTAATTGTAAGGGCTATTCAGTGAAAATGTTTAAATGGTTATAGTCAAGGAAATTATATAACAGTGTTATTTTGATGATTGATGCTTGTTAATAGCAAGTTAGTGAAAGAGTAGTTGAAATTGATTGAAACTTGTTGTTTGAGGTTTGTTGAGGTTCTGAAAGGTAGATAAGGAAATTTTAGTAGCCATCGACTGATCAATGATGCAAAGGAGTTGGAAATTGAGAAGCTAAGCTTAAGAAAAGGTTATTGCTATTATGCTTTCTCATATGCTAGATCATATGAATGATGATAAATGTCTATGAAATTCAAATTCTTGGAATCATAAGGAATAAATGTCTTCAATTATTTAACCACATTTAAGACATACCTTAAGGCTCTTGCATATTGGTTTAGAGCTTGAAGATAATAGAATGTGATTAAAATTATTAGCTGCTTGTCTTTTGAATGTCAGCATGTTAAGTTTCTATTCTTAGGAACTATTCTTTTGAATAGTGGAAGGATGTTCTATACTAGCTAGAAGTAGACAAACAGGGGTACATGAGAAGGAAGAAAGATTCCCTGTGAACCTTATGCAATAGGTTCTAAACTGTCTTAATAATGAATGACAAATGATAGAAGAGATTAACAGAATCATAAGAAAGACAAGAAAGAAAATGAAATATATATATATATATATATATATAGACGAAAGGAAAAGAGCAGCAGCAACAATGGTTTATGGTTTTTAGCCATAACTAGTTCAACATCTGATCTGCTTTGCCAAATACAAGTGGAGTCACTAAGGAAATAAGATCAAATAAAGCAGCAAATTTCAAAGGTATGTAAGAGTTAGAGTTTTGAGGAATTAAAATTCAAATTATTTGCATTCCTTGAGAAGCTGAAATTATGGTGCAAATTAGTGCAGGAATAGGAAGATATATCTTTTGATTCCGATAATATTATTATAGATGCTACTAAGGGACAAGATGAGTAAAGGCAAAGGTATTGTCAGATGCCTAACTATAGTGCCTGCTCAACAGGAATATATTTGAATGATATTTAAATACTCAGAAAAATTAGGGCTAGATAGTATGCCTATGCAATTTGTAAGGTATATGAATAAAGTACTCAAGTCATTAATGAAATTGAAGATATAATTCTTATAGTTGAGATTTAGTATTGGCAGTTTAGTAAGAGAGTTATGGTATGCAGCAAGAGTTTTCAGAGGAACCTAAACATAGTTGACTGCTAAACTTAGTATGAGAAAGGTCTTGGCCACTGAATGTTTACCAAGATAGTGGAACTGGTCCTCCAAGAGAAAGAGAAAAGCGGCCGAGGCAAGGTAATATGGAGTTGACCTTATGTTAATGAAAGCATAAAAAAAAAAAGGGGCCAAGAGTAATGATGGGATTAGATATTCCTTGCGTCTAGCAGAATACTATGGAAGATTTAAGGAAAATTCTCTTATGCTACCAAATAGCTAACTGTCAAAGAAATTGACATTACAATTAGATGAATTTCATGCTAAACACTTTAATGAGTATTATTGCCTTAATTGCAAGATGGATGCCACTTCTATAGTACTTAGATGAGTCAGGTTGAGAGGTAATGATATGTTTTCATAAGAAAGTATAGGTAGCCACTAACGCAGAGTAAAGAGACTTTCCCTGAGGTTGAGTCAAAGTTAAGAGACTCCCTTACCAGAGTGTAATGGCAAGAGTTAAGAAAGCCAAATAGGGATATAAGTCTATTCTTTATCATAAAGGCAAAGTGGTGACCTAAGCCTTTGAACAGTTAAGGCAGCCTTAAGAGAGATAAGGTAGTATCATGAGTTCTCTCCCTGTGCCATCTAAAGTTATTAGAAGTGGTAAGACCCTATACTAAGGCAGGGCAATTATAGTATGTGGTAAGACCCTATACTAAGGTAGGGCAAGTATGGTATGTGGCCTAAGCATAATGTTGACTCTAATGGCCACAAGGATGAATAAATAGCTCAAAGAGCTAGCCGACATGGTGGACAAATTGATATAAAGCTTGAGAAAGTTGAGAATAAGATAATGAAGTTAAATGAGAAGTGTAAGGAGATAATGTTGGAGTTGCCAAAAGGAATGAGTAAGGCCTAAGAAAGCAATGTGGGTATCTAAGATCAGTTTTGGAGAATTATCAGTATGGTTGCCAGATTTCATAGAGATAAAGTTATTCTATAACTTCATTCTTTGGTATTGGAATTCCCAGAAAGGGATCACAGTTAGATCCAAGAAATGGGTCTAGTGAGATCGCAATTAGATCTCGAGATCACAGTTAGATCTCATGGTCGTAGAAGACCCAAAGGAGAGTTACTAATGCCCAAAATAAAGCAGTTTTCTTTGGGAAGACAATGACCTTAGATGAGTTTAGAATGTAAAATTTCTTGAGTCTGGTTAACTGTTACAGAGAGAGTATCCTTGATTTTTCTTCAGATAGCCAAGTTGTTAAGAAGATCTAGCTCAATTCTAATTGGTCAACAAAGGAAAGTAGGAGTTAACAAAGTGTAGTGCTGCAAGTCCCAAGTAGAATGCATTTAGGCAAGCTAAGTGTGGGGTAAGAAAGTAAGAGGAACAGAAAAAGTCCCCAAATATTATATCAATAGATTGAGTACTAAAAGATAATGCCAAAGGTAAGGTAGAAAATAACAAAGTAAGATTTTCAGAATGGTTGATACCATTAACATGTTTTGATTGATGCCGAATACTTAGAATCATTGATGCAATTGATATACCTTGGTTGATATTTAGGTACTCAGAATGATGGATGCCATTAACAAGTCTTAGTTGATGTCAGGTATCCAGTATTGTGGATGTGATCTATCACAACATATGAGTTAAGAGCACTGAGAAAAATTACATAGTTAGCAAAGAAGGTAGTCAACGTTGAAGGTGGGAGACCATGTTTCCTCAATGCATCCCCAACTACATACATAAGTCGATCTATAAAGATCAGAAGAGTTATACTGATAAAAGAAGAAGACTGTTGGAATTTGAGATGGAAGATTATGTTTCCTTGAAAGTAGTACCGACTATGGGCATAGGAAAATCAAAGAAAATGAGGAAATTAAATTCGAGTTACATAGGACTATTTGAAATTCTTGCAAAAGTAGGCCCAATGGTGTATCAGATAGCTATACCTCCATAGTTGAGTAAGTTATATAATGTTTTTCACGTGTCACAACTGAAAAAGTATTAACCAGACTAAGAGCATGTCATTGAATATGAAGAAGTTGATCTACAAGATGATCTGACCTATGACATGTGACCCGAACGAATCATTGATAGACATGAAAGAAGATTGAGAAATAAAAGTATTCCATTTGTAGAAGTGGTCTGGAAAGGATTGTAACCACAAGAAGCTACATGGGAGGTAGAAGAAGAAATGCAAAAGCAATATCCAGACTTTATGCCTCAAAGTAATTATCCAAATTTCGAGGACGAAATTTTATTTACGGGGGGAGAATTGTAACACCCCGAATTTTCTGACTCAGGATGAGCAGAAAAGAGAAAGTTCATTAAAATTATTTAATAGCTCAATCAATTAGGAAAAATTATGGAATATTGATTTTTCAAGGTTTAGAAATATTTTGGAAAAGTTCATTCCCCGAAAAGTGGCTTAAATGATTTTAAAGCTATTTTCATAGCAAAATGGGTTATTTTCTTAGAAAATACTTAGAGGTTTCTAATTAACTAGAAAATTTTAGGGAAATTATCTTATGAGGTAAAGAAGTTATTTGAGGCATAAAATCCTTAAAATGGGTTAAGGATTAATTTCTGAAATTAAGAGCTATTTTCTTGGAAAATTTCAGAAAAATAGTCAGGAATGGACTTTTGACCTGAAATTCTTAGGAAAATTATTTTATGGGTCAAAGAAGCTAATGGATAAGAAAAATCCATTTATGATATTTTGGTTTAATTTCTGGATATATCTTATATTTCAGAAAAATAGGAGAAGGAATAAGATTGGAGGAATAATTATTTAGGAGGGCAAAATGACTCAGCAACCATGTAATACACGTGCTGCCTTCTCCATTAGCCACCTGATTCACTTCTTCATTACATAACTGATCACCGTGGCATCTTTTATTTCATTCTGTTCTGCAACGTAGAGGGAGAGAATGAGAGAAATAGAGACAGACCGAGAGAGAGAACGGAGAAGGAGTAGTGCCGGAGGTGGTGATCTGAGGAGTTACACTTGCATGCAAACCGGTTAAACTGTCAAGGTGAGCTTCACATGTCCATCACTATCTTTATTTTCTGGTTTCGGTCATGTTTATGGCGTGTTTGAGGAGAGAGAGACAGAAGGGTAGTGAGAGAAAGTGATGGAAAGGATAAGAGGACCAATGGATTCGGATTCTATGGGTAGATTGAAGTGTTTGATGTTGGTTTTTAAGATTGCATGTTAGATTCTTGCTGTGCTCTAGTTTGGCCGAACAGGGGGGCATCATGGTTTCTGTAAGAATGAATTCGGTTCCTTATTTACTTAGTGAGAGGAGTTGATCTTGAGGCTGTAAGTTCATTTCTTCCTTCTGTTTTCTTGCTGGCGAATTGACATAGCACGAAACATGTATATATATATATATAAATATATGCATGTGCTGCGGGATCATGAAGGTGTTTATATGTGATAGGTTGCTCTGTTTCTTGAATCCGAGACAGGGGAGTGGGTTTTGTGCTCGCATGTTGTTTTCGGTTGTGGTTCTTAGCTTCTAACACAGGAGCTAATAGCTTGAGATAATGATGCCTGGTTTGTGGTGGTTGGATGTTATATGAATGAGGTATATAGGTTTGTTCTGGGATTGCATGTCGTCTAGCTTTATTGTGCGTGAAGTTTCTAAGTTCATGACCCCTGATTCTGGTAAGCTGAGACAAGCTCTAAAGGTTGGAAAGTTTCTGGTTTTTGTTGGTTATGAGATAGGAAAGAAAATGATACACGTTTGTCTATGTGCGCCTCGGTCAAGTTTGTGGGAACTGAATTTACATAGTTAAGTGGCGTTGGGTTCACTGGTTGAGAGGAGACCGAACTGACATATATGTATATAGTTTCGGTACATGTGTGTGTTTGTTGCTGTCGTGAGACTTGAATTCATGGAGCTAGGGGAAATAATCAATGGTTAGATGATGACTGGTTTGGAGAGGAGACTGAATTGATGTATATATATGTATATAGTCTCACAATATATAGTAATATATGACTTACGTGGGAATTTACAGTGGTTATATTTTATATATAAGGGCCGTGGGATTATAATGGAAGGAAAGGTAATTGAGGAGGAATGTTAAAGTTTGAAGGAATTAAATGGGTAGATGTTTGAAGTTAGAAATGAATTAATAAAATGTGAAGTGATTTTCATGAATTTAAGATATGGAGAAGTAAGGAAATAGATTAGTTGTAATAGAATAGATATAATGGGAAGTTTTAAAGATTGAAGGATTGAGTGAGAATTAAAGTTAAAGGCTGTTTGGTCGCAAAATAATCTTAAATTTAGATATTTGCTTAAGGAAGTTTAAGTTGGGATCTAAGAGATTAAGAATGATTTTTAGTTAATTATGAAAATATATATGGGTTGAGATAAGGAAGGAAACCCTCCAAAGAGAATAGTTTAAATGAGAAAAATTGTCCAGAATGACCAACTACTATGTAAGGGTAGAGATTGAAGAAGATCTAGGACGTTAAGTGAGCTATTTAATTTATGAATTTACAGTTGGATCAAGCGTTAATCTATCCTTACTAATGTGATAGGTTTTTATATCTGCTCAAGCCCACCAAGAAGTAGAAAGAAAGGAGAACGGTAAGGTTTGATTTGGAGGGATGCGGACCAGGCAGTAGTTCTTTCCTCCCTTACACTTGTGTATGATTGCTGCATGTCTGTTTGTGCCATATTGCTATTCAAAAAGCATGAGAACATGTAATCCTTAATTCCTGGATTTTTAGCCGTGACCACGTGCAGCTGATAAACAGGGGGCAGTGATTGCCAATTAAATGCGCGGCAGTGATTGCCAATGATATGCGCGGCAGTGATTGCCAATTATATGCGCGGCAGTGATTGCCAATTAAATGCGCGGCAGTGATTGCCAATGATATGCGCGGCAGTGATTGCCAATTATATGCGCGGCAGTGATTGCCAATTATATGCGCGGCAGTGATTGCCAATTATTAGCGCATTATTTATTCAGCTTGTCTAATAGACATGGGGCAGTGATTGCCAGGTATGTGAGCATTATTTATTTAGCTTTTCTATCTGTCATTGTGCATAAATGCTTAATTCATTAGCTTGCAAGGTTTTGTTCCATATGGCTTGTTTGCATGTTTTATGTGATTTGCACATTTGTTTGATGGAAATTACTACTACGGGGATTCTTCGGAATCTCACCCCCCAATTTATGATGAACAGTGAAGGCTAGTAGCTAGAAGGACAAGGAGGTTATTTAAGAAGAAGGTGAGCTGATTGAAGAGCAGAGATACCTGTTATAATTCTGTAAATTGTATAGTAAAATATTCGGGCAAGTAACTTTACTTGCTTTATGGAAATATTATTTTGTATCCTTTAGAAGAAGGAGGTGAGTATTGCCAGGTGCACGTATATGCTGTCAACCAAGAGCGTTGCTTTATTTTTAATATAATATTATAAGATTGTATAGTATGAAATTATTTTAGATGATAATAGATTGAGTTGAAAGCAGGGTTGATATTGGATCACTAATCTGTTATCTGAAGGTTTGAAACATTTGATCAACGGATTCCATTGTTAAAAGAAAAAAAAAATTCCCTGTCTTTTCCCAGGATGGAAACCTGGTGTTAGTGATTCACAGGCGTTAAAAATGATCCTATATATATATAAAAGTGAGGTGTTACAGGCAACTATATGTGGCTCTTTCTAGAGTGAAATCAATTGAAGGATTGAAGATTCTATTGCACGATGGTGAAAGTGGAAGGAGTAGGACTACTTCCAATGTCGTTTACAGAGAAGTGTTTCAAAATCTTGGCATGCGTAAGTGATAGCTTTTTTTAATGATCAGAAAATTTATGATATTGAAATTATATAATTAAAACATGTGCTATATTTTTTAACAGACATTTGATTATAATATGTACTAATGTTTTTTTGCTGATTTGTTAGTTGTCATTTTTCTTGTATTAAGTTTTATATTTGTTCTCAACTACTGTTTTAAGTTCTGTTTTACTGTCTAAATGATCAGGTTTAGATCTTAAGAATTTTTTATGTCATAACTCAATAATTTAATGTAAACATATATATTTGATTTGGCATTGGGCTTCAAGGTACCTCATATAAGTCCTATATTTCATTAATGATCATATCAAGAGGTTAATTTTCCAATGAGCAAACTGATTTCAGGATAACAATCATGTCCCTGCAGTTACTTTTCCCTAGGAACGTTTACTTGCAATATTTAAGTTTCTTAATTGCTGTTTTGAGGGAACATTGAGTTGTAATTAACATTTGCTTAATCTTATTGTATTTTTAAGAAAGGCTTCTATAGATGAGTTGTTTCATTTTAAAAGTGTGTTTCTCTATATAGTTTTTTTTTTTTTCATTTAGTTGTTCTGATGATTCACTAATAAGTTGCTTCATTTTCTGTCACTGTTTTTTCTCAGTGGACTGTAGTGATGGAGTTATATTGTAATCTTTCCTCTCTTAATCTCAGCAAGTGCAATGCAAGTGTGATTGTGAAAGTAGACCAGAAGTATATCAGGAAGAAGGTGTGGTATACTTTGGAAAATCGTCATCCTGTTTTTGAAGTGGAATCTATGGACATATTCTTTTTTGATGCTTAGGTATGCCTTTTGGAATCTCTTATTAATATTGCATTTTTTTGTCTATTATAGAGATTATATGTGGACCAATAATGTTCCTTTTTTTTTTCAAGAACAGTCATGTAATCTTGCAGTTAATGACCAATGATCACATTGATCGATTTGCATCGAAGTTCGTTGAAGGTGGTGTGCACCAAATTTCTGGTATGTTCATGTTGGTGGTCTTAGTCTGCATGACAGATAGTATATATGTTTTGTCGCTTCAACCGAGGTTATAGAGAGAATAGATGAGTTTCCCTGTTATTCATTTAACTTGAAAAATGTTTTTGACATTTGCTATGGAATATTTGAAGAATTTTTTTTATGGTAAGATTTTGTGATGATTTTTTATTTCTAACCGTTGAAGCCCTGAAGGAAAATCTGATTTCTGAAAAAGTTTTGGGTGATAAAGATATTTATGGACTTTTGAAATATTGGAGTTTTGTTAGTCCTATAAAGCTTATTGGAGTATACAGGGAGGAATTGGAGATCGTAAGACATGAGATGGTCACGTTAGAAGGATGGTACTATGGTTTTGATCTTGTAAGCTTAATGTGTTATCCCATTTGAATTTACATACTGATACTTTCATCATTTTGGGGTTATGGAAATTAAATTTTGTCAGTCAGCCGAAGGAGTTGACTATTAAGCTTCATGATGAGTGTGCTGCGATTACTCTTGCCAAGATAGAAGCCAGGGGGTGAAAGCTGAAGATTTTCTGATTATATAATATGCTATTGGCATGCTTCATAAGAACGATGGTACAACAATTTTCCCTTCATTTGTTAATAAGTCACAAGTTCATGCTCGTAATTTCTATTAATAGCAAGATTCAACGTTTATTAGACGGAGTGAGATATTTTATCCTACTTATAGTGTTATATGCAGGTGGACCCGTGCTTAGCTCATTTTCAGGTGCCACAAGAGTGTTATTTGATGATGATCTTAAGTAGCTGTTGTACTTGTGCACCACGATTGCTGTCGGGAATATTTACCTCCATAATATTTTTCTTATTTTCTTTTTCTGTGTTGTATGTATCCCTCCTCTTTTTAAATCATCGGGTAATTTTTGTGAAGTTCATGGCCATGTAATTAGCAGCATATGCTTTGAAAGAGTTGCTCTAATCTCATCTTGACATGATGTCCCCACATTAAGTGATGGATAGTAGCAGTCATTGATCGATATTCTTGTGGCCCGTGCAACGCACGGGGGATTTTGCTAGTTTTAAATAAAAACAAACTCAATGGATCAAATCCTATGATTTAAAATTTGAGGGACCAAAAATTATATTAACTAAATTTTATTTATGATATTTGAACAAAATAGACTGCATGACACACATTTTAAATTTAAATATTATAATTATTTAAATATCATCACTAATATTCTTTTTTTTTTTCCCCAGTTCTCTTTTTGATTGGCTGATTGCTTTTACTGCTCCTGGAAGCTTTTCTGCGTAAGGCATCAATCAAAGAAGTGGCACACATGTTTCTTGAAATTCACTTTTCTTTTTCTTATTACATATACTTTATATTTCCCATCTATTTCATATTTAAGGGTTATTTAAGATATGAGTTCAATAATATGTGTTTCGCATTGTTAAACTAATCTTAGTTACTATTAAATATAAAAATTCATAACAAATAAAATTGTATACAAGAGAATGATCAATTTTTATAATATGTATTGGCGTTTTCCTCTAAATAATTTAATTGAAAGAAAAAAAAAGTGTGATAAAGCCTTTTACCTATTTCAATCACTTGCAGGGGAAAGTAGTTAGCCAAAAGAATATTAGGCTTTACAAGAATTTTCCTACTTTAGTTTCTTGACTTATATTTTATACGCAGCTTACTTAAAATTAGTATATACCCTAAATTTCATATTGTCACACATGCATCTCGTCACCAAACTATCACGAAATATGTGAATGCAGCTTGCTAGAGAAACCCTTAATTAGTTGAATATTTAGGGACTGTTTCATTTCTTGTTTTCAAAACAGTTTTTCTGAAAAACAATTAAAATTTTTTTTTGAAAATGTGTGTTTGGTTATGTGTTTTGAAAAGTAAGAAAAATAAAAAATTGTTCAAGAAAACAAAAAAAATATGTTAGATGTTTTCTTATCTTTTTATTCTATAAAATTAGAAAATAGGTGGAGGAACATTATGGGCATGTCTGTTTTATTGTTTTGGAAACAATGTTTTTATTTTTAAAAACCAAAAAAAGTTGATTGTTTGTTAATTTTTAACTAGGTGTTCTGAAAAAAAATATATATTTTAGAAAACAAAAAACTCAACAATTTTTACATGTTTTATTGAATTTTATTTTTGTATTGTATTTTTTCTATCTAACCTTTTCACTCCCAGTGGCACTTCTCATGTAACATCCAAAAATATATATATTTAGATTTTAGTTTATTAAAATGAGATTAATTAATTATCATTGAAGCTAATCTTAATTACGGGTAGACTACTAATTAATAAATAATAGTTAAATAATAATAATATATATTTAAAATATATATAGATAAATATAATATATAAATATATATATATATATATATTAACAGTGGGTGGCACACGGCCACCCACTGTTTGTTTTGGGGGAGGGGAGTTAATCCCCGGTGGGCCGTGACCCACCACCTTTTATTAAAAAAAAAAAACAAAACAAGCTAAGGATTTGAGTAAAGGGGTCACGTGACCCATTATATCTGAATCATTGTTTTCCCTTCTTCCGCCTCCCGTCCTATAGCCTCTCCTCGCTGCTTCGCATTCGTGTTCCTAGTCAGCCATCCCGCTGCGTGAGAGAGTGAGGGTGAGAGGTTGAGGGTGTGAGCAAGAGATTCTTTGGTCTCCTCTAAATTATTTAGGTAAACTATTTTCTTCCTACTTTTTCTATTTATTTTTAAGTTTATGGTAGAAAATAAGATGTGTTAGGGTTTGATAGATTTTTAATGATTTAAGGCTTCTAACTTATTTTGATGATATTAATAGAGCTTATGGAGTTAGAATAGAAGCCTTATGACTTAGATTTTTAGTTGATGGTTGATTTGAGGCAATGTGAGTTAGGGATTGGTTGGGAAATTGTGATTTGTATTAATGATGATATTAATTTCGAAATTTATCTCTTAGTTGAGTTCACTTGAGGTTATATTGAGGATCCAATGCTTAAACTTTGAGGATTGTTGTTGAAATAGTAATGTTGATGATTATTGGAGAGACTTTAATTAGTGGAAGTTGGGTGTTTGGAGGAAATTGAGGAAAATATTATAAGTTATTGATTCTAATGAATGGGAAATGATTAATGGAAGAAGGGAATAGGATTTTAATAATGATTGAAGGCATAGTTGATATATAGTTATTTTTCTAAGAGTTAAAGTAAGCACTTTTTGGAGATTTTTTAGATGATTTGAAGGAAATATTCTTATTAATGATGTGAATGAGAGAAATAGAGTTGGGAAGTATTAGGAATTGTCACTTGGAGGAATAGATGAATTATTATTTTTCTAAAGATAATTTTTTAAGCAAGCCAATTATTGGGATTTAGTTAATAAACTATTTTAATGCTATATTAATTAGTCTTTTTATTAATATATGTTTATAAACTTATTGTTGTAGAGTGAGCTTGGTTTGGGCTCTTGGGTCTTGAATCCTCCTACTCTTAGTTATTGTGTTAAGAACTTGAGGTAACCACTTTTTAATTTACCTTGTATGCTTGTTGATGTGATTATAAGCATGTGTTGATATTACAAATGTTATCAAGATGTGTTATGGTGGTTTTTGTATGAAAAGTAATTTATATATCTAAATCAAGATTTATGTTTTGATAAATTTATTAGTTAAGTGGGCATGAATTATTTCATCTTATGAATATCTTGTTGATGTTGAACAAATTTGATTATTGAATTTGAGAATGCTTTATGGATATGAAATTGTGTGGAATTGGATGGTTGGATTGGGCTGTGTTGGTTGTGCTGAAATGTAATTGTGGGAGGTCTGATTAATTATACCACGTGGTATAGCCGCCACTTGGCGCCCAATGGTTGGCATTAACATTCTTAGGGCCCTCGGTATCACCCTTCCTTTGGCCGGGTCAAGGGTCAGCCCAAGGAACATGACACCTTTCCATATTCCAAGGAAAGGGAACCCATGGTCCGGTATGAGCTCTGTAACTTTTGGTCGAGTTACACCTCATTATTGGAGAGCTTGGTGCAGTCTTGTAAAGGAGACGAATCCTGTTATGTGTGAATAGCCCATGGGTTCTGTCAGAGGTTACAAGGAGGTTATAAGGATGGTTGATGAAGTTCTATGCATGCATGTTACTTTTTGAATTATTATATATTGTTTTCTGTAAAGATGTTTAACTTATATGTTATTTGAAATTGTATTTTGCCCGCTTAGCTATCTTGTAATCACTCCCTGGATACTTATTGAATTGGAATTGTGGTTACTGGGTCAATTTGACTCACCCCGTGGTTATTTAACATTTTTCAGACGAGGGTTCAGGTGTTGGTCCCAAGGGGAAGGTGTTCGAGACTTGAGTTTTCCTTTCCACTCTGTATAGCCTCTATTTTTGATATACATGATTTGACTGATGTATATTGCCAAACTTTAGGGCCTTTTTGTTTTAGTTAACATTATCATAGCCTTTCCGCTGCATTCTAGACTTGTACTATTGGGCGGAGCTCTTTTTGGACATATGTGATTGTTATTTTGATTGCAATTGATAATGGGCAGTAGTGGTAGTTATTTTGGTGGACTTCAAATGCCCTAGCCCATTTACAATTGGTCTTAATTGTATTTGAGATTCCAGAGTATTGCTGATGGATTTGATATATACATGAAAAATCAAATGTTGATCCTTTCTGATTTGATTAACTATCTTTACTATTCTAGAACAGTAGCTATTACTCTGTTAAAGATTTGGATTGTTATTGACTATGGTAGATTTCTATTTGATTAGGTTTGTCTTTCCTATCATGGTTAGCCTTTTAAAGCAATTATCGTTTTGAAAATGTTTATTTACCATGAATTACGGGGGTTGTTACATCTCATTCTGCCCGGTTCGGAACCTTTCCTCTCCTCTTCCCATCCTCTTTCTTCCTCTTTTTTTTTTTTTAACCATTAGATTAACATATTTCAATAGTTTAGAATTTATTTTCTTATAAACTATTCATAAAATTTTTTTAAAAATTCGGTGCACTTACAAACCATTAGAATTAAATTTTATATAGCTTGTAATTTATTACTTATTTATTTTTATAATTTAACATTTTAATAATATTTTAAAAATATTTAAATTTAAACTGTTAAAATATTAATCTAATAGTTAAAAAAAGAAGAAAGTGAAAGAGAATAGAAAGGGAAGAGGAGGGGTTTCGAACCGTGATTTCATCTCCTAGGCTTATCCATGTTGTCTCTCAATCCTATATCTTTTGGTCTATTGTCATTGCACTCCCCATTCCGTCTCTCATTTTCTATCTGTTCTTCGAATTAATTTTAAATACAATTATTCCAAAAGCTTTTTTTAATTTTCAAATGCGAATTTTTAGAGCAATTACCCAAGCATATTTTTTTAAATTTTTTAAAACTTATTTAAAAATAATTTATAAAGGTACGCTAAATTCATTTACTTCTCAATTAAGCCCAGAAGAATACTGGCGTGTTATTTACTTCTCAATTCATTTCTTAATCGTTTTATGCTGAATCATTTGAACATTGACGAGGCCCCTTCTTAATCTTGCTAATTATGTTCAGCGTTATGCACTAATCTCCTTTATATTTTGTCTTAATTACATGAATCTCTCATTTATTTTGAAAACATGAACTAAAATCTAATTTATTAATATACTAGTTTACCCTTCATCATAATACTAAATCTATCTTCTTTTGCTGAAAATGTTTTGAGGTATTGAAGGGTTTTCTTTTTCTTTTCCTTAATTTTTCACTTTTTGAAAATAGTTATTTGTTTAATATCTTTATCATATTGGACATAAACCTAAGTACTTTAGTTAATGTAGACATATAAAAAACTTGATGGAAAATTGGTTAATCTTTTGATAAATATACACTCGACCAATTAAATTCATAAATATTTATAAGTTTAAACAATTTTTCTTATTTCTTCATCTTATAGAATTTATATTATATAATGGACAAAAATCCGTTCCAGTTTTATCCAATTTTTTGAGACCTGCTAATATTTTTAATAATTAATTTTAGTTAATTATCCTTTAACTAACCAAAATTTTAGAAATTAAACAAAATTCCTTTTTTGGACAATTTCCTTTATTTTCACCACAGTTGAGCAAAAAATATTGTCCAGGAAATTTATCCCATTTGCCATCAATTTTTAAGAATTTTAAGAATTTTTGGGTATATTTTTTAAAATGTTTACCCTCACTCACCCAGAACCTTTTAAAATTATGCTTTAACTTCAATTAGGGATGAAACTAATATGATATTTTTATTTACATTTCTACTACTTCTGACCCTTGTCTAAGTAGTAGGAATGAGATTATTAACCATCCACAATAATTACTTGAAATTCATAATTTCTAACCACGCTATTGGCCCAATAATTTTTAGGGAAAATTAGGGAGAAGGACCTAAAAAAATTAGTATTTATTAAGAGGGATCTTAAAAATTGTAATTAATTTGAAAGACCAAAAATTAAAATAAAATTTTACAATTACCAAATTATCCCTTATCAAATCCCTACATTATCTCCAATACCCTCCTATCTCAATTTGACGGTTAATATCAATTGAACTTGATTTCTCTCTCTCTCTGTCTGTCTCTGTGTATCTCTTTTTGATGCACCCAAAGTTTTATCAATAGCAATTATCTTCTTGTAAATCCAGAACAAAGAAGACAAATTAAAAGGAATCAAGTAGCAAACTATTTATTGGATGGTATGTATATTCTGAACATTATTTCCCTTTTATTTATTTGTACTGAATGTTTTCTAATTTTGTTCATGGCCTCTATATAAAGACTTTTTGGATGAATATAAAAGTATATATTTGTACCTTCATTCAATCCCAACTATACATACATATGAACACAATCACACTACCTATACAAAGCTTCTTAGATGAATATAAATATATTTCTTTGTGTTAATCAAAATATGAAAATCAAGTAAATAGTACCTCTTCGTAACCTAAGTTTCACTAATAATTTTTCCAACCACATCGGAATGAGGGGCAAAATCGTAGTTGGGCAAGCTGGAAATTTTTCCAGCCATATTGGAATGAAAGGCTAGTAGATCCAGATATGAATGACTGAAAAATAGGACTATTTTTTGTTAATTGCTGTATTTAGTTTTTAATTTTAATGGGGGCAATTTAGTAATTATAAATTTATATTTCAATTGATAACTGATAATCAAATATTGAGATGGGTCTTGGAGATAATGTAGGGATTTGGCTAGGGATAATTTCATAATTGTAAATTCATATTTTAATTTTTGGTCCTTCAAATTAATTACAATTTTTAAGATCCCTCTCCATAAATACTAATTTTTTTAGGTCCTTCTCCTCAATTTTCCCTAATTTTTATTACTTTTCCTTCATAATTAGACCCCCAGACTTCAGCTGATTTATTGGGCTTGGCAGTTGGGATTGATTTATTTATGTCGGACCTTTAGGAAATTTTAACAAATTATATAATTTGGCTAAGTATTACTGAATCAGCCAAAGATGGCCCTTTTATTCCCGTAAATTCCTTTTTGAGGCATTCTCTTTATTTATGCATCTCTTAAACTTCGATTTTTTTTTTTGAAAACCTCGTTACTCTTTTCTTGAGTTTATGGTATTTTCTGAATTTCAGGAAACTCTTCATGATCACTTTTTTTTTTGGCTTAAAACTTTTTAAAACTATACTTTTATCCCAACTTGACATTTCTATGTGTTTCTCTATTTGAAATACCGGATATGATACATGACAACCGAGGAAGTCATAATGCAACCTCCTTCTCCCTCGTGTTGCTAGCACCTTCACCAACTTTTTAATTCCCCAAAACAAGTTAAAGATGGTATGATAAATTTTATGACGTTTGGTAATAATTTTTTTAATAATGTTAGAATTTGAATATGTAGGCAAAAGTACGCGCGAATTTTAATTTTACGTCATTTTCATTTAAGTCATATGAGTCTACCCTCTACAAAATTTCTTATCCTTAAAATTAGTCAAAGATTTTCCTCATTCTTCGCAATGTTAATTTAAAACAGTATTATGTAAATTTTAAAGTCAATTAATTAACCAATAAAAATTTTTACCATAAAAAAATGTACCTATATGTAAAATGAATATTTTTTTATACATCATGATAACTGGTTTTAATATTTTGGAACATATTGCAAAATTAAAATAAAATTAATAAGGATTAATATAATTTTTGGTCTTTCAAATTTACTATCATTTTGTTTTTGTTTCTTCAAGTTTCAAATTAAAGGTTTTAATTCCTTAAATTTTTTCGCGTCTAAAGCATTGGTTCCTATAGTCTAATAAAAAAATAAATCATTTAATTCCTTAAAGGATCAAAACGTGTGATTTTGAAACTTGAATGATTAAAATCAAAATAAAAATAAATTTGAGGGACTAAAAATTATATTAACTTAATTAATAAATAAATAGTCATAACAGTAAGTAGAATTTGTTTTTTTTTTTGTTGGAAAAAAAGACAAAAAGTGGTTTGAATAATCGCATTTCATGCACCTCAAAGCCTGCAAAAGTTGATAGGCCACCTGACCTGCCTATTCTTTAAATCTTTTTAAAATACAATTTTGTTTTATTTTATATGCAAATAAAGTGCTTATTTTTATTTTTTTATCTTAAGATAAAAAAACACAGTACCCATTCATCCAATAATTTTTTTTTGCTTAAACAACAACAGATACATTTAAAAATAGGATTAAAATACTTTACCTCCTTTTATACGCCAATAATATAATTCGAAGGAAAATAATAATTTACTCAATTATTATTATAAATAATTTTTAAATGTGAGGTACACGGGAATAAATTTACTACAAGAGATATAATCATAATCTATAGGTTGACATTAAAAATATCTAATCACAAGTTGTAGGTTGACATTAAAAAAAAAAATTTGTTGGTAAAAATAAAAATAAAAATTATATATTTTTAAAAATTATATAGTCAGTTGTACTCACCCATCATGGCAACACCAACCTGCTGGGCAGCGAGTTGCTTCGACCTGTACTGCTTGACTTGCGGGTCTGCTTGTATCCCCAACTCTATTAATTAGTATGTTAGATATTGATATTAGAAATTAACTTTGTCCAAAAAGATAGTATACAATTTAAATATAATACAATTTTATTTTATGACATTTTTGTGTTTGCAATAATGTAATTCGTTTATTACTTATCTGTTTATATAATTAATTATTAATTAAAATTTGGATCCCAGAACACTAACAAAAGAGAATGTACATGGTTGGGCATTGCAATCCAAAGCACACGTGTTTTTAATTAAGGACAATTAAGTACAAAAATATTCTTTCATCTCTTATTTAACTGTTTTATATATGTTCTTCAAATTAATTATTCAAACAGATTTTTTCCCAAAGTTGTTTTGAAAGACTACTCTACAAACTTGGTTTAAATAACATAAAAAAAAAAAGAATCAAAAAGCTCTTAAGCACTCAATTAAGCCCACAAGAATTCCAGTATGCTATTTATTTCTCAATTCATTTCTTAATCTTTTTATACTCGAGACATTTGAACATTAACGAGGCCCCTTCTTAATTTTGCAAATTATGCTCAGCATTATACACTAACCTCCTTCACATTTTGTCTTAATTAGATAGTTCTCTCCTTTATTTTGAACACATACACTTACATCTAAATTATTAATATACTAGTTTACCCTTCATCATAATACCCTTCTTTTCCCTATTTTTTTTCTTTTTGAAAATAGTTATTTGTTTGATATCTTTATCATATTGTACATAAACTTACGTATTTTAGTTAATGCAGACATATAAAAGACTTGATGGAATATTTGGTTAATTCTTTTGACAAATATATACTCGACCAATTATATTTATAAATATTTATAAATTTAAATAATTTGTCTAATTTCTCCATCTTCTAGCATTTACATTATATAACGGACAAAAATGCGTTTCAATTTTATCCAATTTTTGGAGACATCCTAATATTTTTCATAATTAATTTTAGTTAATTATCCTTTAACTCACCAAAATTTTAGAAATTAAATAAAATTTATTTTTGGAAAATTTTCTTTATTTTCACCACAATTGCAACAAATATTGTCCAGGACATTTATTCCATTTGCCATGAATTTGTAAGAATTTTATGAATTTTTGAGCATATTTTTTAAAATGTTTACCCCCAGCGTCTAGAACTTTTTAAAATTATGCTTTTGCTCCAACAAGCGATGAAACAAACATGTTATGTTATTTACATTTATCGTATCTGACCCTTGTCTGAGCAGTGGAAATGAGACTATTAACGATTCATAATAATTACTTGAAATCCATAATTCTGACGACCACCTTTGGCCCAAATAGCTTTTAGGATAATTAGACCTCCAGCCTCGCCCATCAGCAGATTTATTGGGCTTGGGAGCTGGGATTGATTTGTTTTAATTTTTGGAATTATGGTAGGAAATTTAGAACAATTTCCTAACGTGTACGTAATTAAATTTCAGAATTAATTCCCAATCAATAAGTAACTCCTCCAAAATCTATTCTCCTCATAAAATAATTTCTGCAGTTTTGTCATCTCAAAATTTAATCCCAAATTATTTATCCTTTAATTTTTGAGAAATTACAATTTTAAAGCTCAAAAATTATTTCAAAATAAAATATTCCATTTCCTTGGGTAAAATTCTCTTATCAAATTTTATTAATTCTCACAATAATTATTTGGGCCTTTTATGTAATTTTAGTAAATTATATAATTTGTCTAAATATTACGGAATCAGCCAAAAATAGCCCTTTTATTCCTACAAATTGGTATTCTCTTTATTTATGCCTCTAAAGCCTCCATTTTTTTTTTTGAAAACCTCTTAACTATTTTTCTTAGTTTATAATATTTTGTGAATTTCAGGAAAACTTTTCATGATTACTTTTTTTTTTTTGGCCGAAAAATTTTTAAAACTACACATTTATCCGAACTTGACATTTCTATATGTTTCTCAATAATGCATTTGAAATAAATTAATTCCCAAAAAACAGGTTAAAGATGGTATGGTAAATTTTATAACGTTTGGTAATAATTTTTTTTAAAAATAATGTTAGAATTTGAATATGTAGGCAAAAGTACGGCGAATCTTAATTTTATGTCATTTTCAGTTAAGCCATGTGAGTCTACACGCTACAAAATGTCTTATTTGATCAATATTTTCCTCATTCTTCGTAATCTTAATTTAAAACAGCATATATGTAAATTTTAAAGTCAATTAATTAACCAATTAAAAATTTTTTACCATAAAAATTTTACTTATATGTAAAATGAATCTTTTTTATACATTGTGATAATTGATTTTAATATTTTGAGAAATATTCCAAAATTAAAATAAAATTAATAAGTGTTAATATAATTTTTGGTTTTTTAAATTTGTTATTATTTTAATTTTAGTCCTTCTAGTTTCGACTTTTAGTCCTTTAAATGTGAGTGGCACGGGAATAAATTTACTAAAAGAGATATAATCATAATCTATAGGTTGACATTAAAAATATCTAATCACAGTTTGTAGGTTGACATTAAAAATAAGAAACATACGTTTTTAAAAATTATATAGTCAGTCTACTAAGCCATCGGGACAACACTAACTTGCTAGGTTTGACCTGCAGGTCTGCTTGTATCCCCAACTCTGTTAATTAGGAGGCATTTATGAAATATTGATATTGGAAATTAAGTTGGTCCAAAAAGATAGTATACAATTTAAATATAATAAAATTTTATTTTATGACATTTTTGTGTTTGCAATAATGTAATTTGTTTATTACTTATCTGTTTATATAATTAATTATTAATTAAAATTTGGATCCCAGAACACTAACAAAAGAGAATGCACATGGTTGGGCATTGACTGCACCAGATATTTCATTACATATTTGTAAAACATTATATATTATCATAGCTTTTCACATTTTTAATTACTATTTTTGGAATCCTAATTTGATGTCCTGTCCATTTTAGATGGCATCCCTGGGGAAGGTATTTTAACAGACCTTGCCAAGAGATTGATAGATAAAACCATAAAGGAAGTTAATTACTTTCGTCATTTCGAGACTCATGATCATGAGTTTGATGGGGACAATCAACTTTTGATTGGAAGATTAGAGAAAGTTCAAAAGGATATTGACGATGCCAAAAAGAATGGGCATCAAGTTGAAGGTGAAGTTCAAGGTTGGGTAACGGAAGCTGATAATCTAATTCAAATGAATGCTGAAATTAGACAGACAAGGTTTGATAGCTGGTGTTTTCTTAGGAAATATCGACAAGGCAAGAGATTAGCACAGAGGGCGCAAGTCATTAAAGGTCACATCCAAAAATGTAACTTTGAAACAGTAGCTCGTCCAGGTAAACTTCCAGGTATGAAGTACCATGCTTCAAAAGACTTCATTGATTTTGAGAGCAGGAAGACAAAATTCAAGGAACTTATGGATGCTTTAGACGATGGAAATCATTACATGATTGGATTGCAAGGGATGGGGGGAACGGCAAAACCACATTGGCAACACAAGTAGGAAAGCAAGTTGAAGAATCCAAAGCATTTGAGAAAGTCATCTTTGTTGTTGTGTCTAATCCTCCAGATGTCAACAAGATTCGAGGCGACATTGCAAGGGAATTAGGTTTGCATTTAGAGGAAAGAGTTGAAGCAGATCACTCAAAGCATTTGTGGTCTAGAATTTTTGATGATAAAAAAAAATTACTTAGAATATTAGATGATGTGTGGGAGAAGCTAGACCTCACCGAAATTGGGATTCCATCTGGACTTGATCACAAGAATTGTTATGTTTTGATAACCACTCGTCATTCAAAAGTTTGTCAACAAATGAGATGCCAACAAGTAGTTCTCTTACAAACATTGGGTGATGAGGATGCAGTGCATCTCTTTCTGTATCATGCTAGAAGTTGTGATGATGATGATCCTTCAAGGAATAATTTAGAGAGTCTTGCAAGAGATTTTGTGAAGGAGTGTGGAGGATTACCAATTGCAATTGTGGCTCTAGCTAGCACATTAAAAAATTAGCCTGTTGGTGAATGGAATGTGGCCTTGACAACCTTGCAAAATTATAAGCCAATTGTTGAAGTTGATGAAGATTTGGTGAATGTTTACAAATGCTTGGAATTAAGCTATGATAGATTAAATAATGGGAAGACCCAAAAGCTCCTTTTATTGTGTTCTATTTTCCCAAAAGACTATGAATTTTCATTAAATCTCATTATTAGACTTGGTATAGGGTCAGGAATTTTCGGGGAAGTTAATGACTATTGTGCAGCAAGAAGCCAACCACTTGCAGTGAAAAATGAACTCGTAGCTTCTTCTTTGCTACTGAAGGTTGAGAACAAAGAATGTGTAAAGATGCATGACTTGGTTCGTGAAGTAGTCCAATGGAAAGCAAAGGATGATATTCAAGTGATTATGATTTCAAAAACAACTTTTGAAGCAACCAAGCAATTTGTGTTTTGGAGCATTGATGATTTTCCTGATCATCAGTTTGATGGTACGAAAGTTGAGATTCTACTTCTTTGGATTAGTGGAAATACTTTGAAAAAAGATGCAAACGCATTCTTTGCAAGGATGTCACACCTCAAAATTCTGTTTTTGCTCAATCAATATGACAGAAAAGTTCCCACTCCGTTGTTGTCGCAATCACTTGTTTCATTAAAAAATATTCAAACTCTTATCTTGGATGGTTGCGAAATAGGCAACTTCTCAGTTTTGAAGAATTTACATGGTCTTGTGACACTTGAGATGGAAAGTTGTCTAATTATTGAATTATCCCAAGACATCATGGAACTAAAGATGTTGAGATTGTTGGGGTTTAAGAAATGTGAAATTCAAAAGAACAATCCCCTTCAAGTGATTGAAAGATGGTCACAATTGGAAGAATTGCATTTTGTTGAGAATTACAGTATTGAGGATTGGTACAAAGAAAGTGAAGATGAAATTGCTCCCCATATATCTTTTTCTGCATTGCAAATGTTTTCAATTGCTTGTAATGGTTTTAAACGTTTTGCTGATGATGATAATGGCCTATTAAAATGCTTCAATTCGGAACATGTGGAAGATTTAATATCAGAACCCATGTTTAAGTACCTTGTGCGAAGAGCAGAAGTTCTTGAGCTGGGGAATTTAAAACAAAGAGGAGGGAAAAGTCTTGTCCCTGACATTATTCCTGTGGAAGAGGGAGGCAAGGATAATTTAATCAAGCTACATATGTATGATATGGATGTGAAAGAATTATGTCGCGGTGCTATGCCTTCTAGGTTTCTTGAGAAGTTACAGATTTTAAAGTTAGATGGTTGCAGGGAACTGCAAAATATATTCTTAGACGCAAATCTCAAGCTACCTCATCTGAGGGTATTGGAATTGAAAGATTGCCCAATGTTCCAACCATCAATTTTCAAACCCTTTTTTGCTCGAAGTCTTGGGAAATTGGAAGAATTAATAGTTGAAGGTTTCACAGAGCTAAAAAGTTTAATTGCAGACGAGAGTTCAGAAGAAGAAATGAGGGTTGTTGATTATCAAAAACATCATGGCTTATTGTTTCCTGCATTAGAGTCTCTTCAAATTAAAAGATGTGGCAAATTAGAAGTGGTATCATCATTTCTTCTAGCTGGAGACCTTCCCAGGTTGAAAGATTTAGACATATATGATTGTGTGGAGCTAAAATACATATTTGGTGAATATAAAGATAAAGATAATGCGGGCCAAGTTGTGCAACAGGGAATCATGCTCCCTTTACTAACACAAGTGACACTTCGGAGCGTACCAAGTTTCGTTAACATATTTCAAAAATGCAAGACTTGTGTGCCAAGGCCGCCTCATATTTTGAAAGAAGATTCGAAGGAGAGACATAAGAACTCTAAGATAAGTGCTTTCTCATGGGCTCATGGTTGTTGTTTTCTGGCCCCAACTAAACACAGTAATATTGGAGTTTCTAGTGCCCCCCTACTGGAAGACTGCACAATCTCACAGGTATGCTACTTTGAGCTTGCTCTTTTTATTCAACATTTATGTTTCTTTTTTTTTTTGGGAAAAAGGTGATATTTGATTTATTAAACTTTCATTTTATTAGCATATGGTCCATGAATGGTTTATAGATATTTTTCTCTTTTCTAAGACATGTAGATCTAATAATGGAAGGGAGATGTGGTAAGAGAAGCTTTAGAGAAATGGTGAGGGAAAAAATGATAGGTCGTGTTTGTTTTTATCTGTAGTTTCTTTTCTTTTAATATACTATAGTCATAATAGGTCATGTTTATAGTTGTTTTTATTTATAGATATTTTTTTATACCAATATAATTTTATGTATGGTTTCCTTAGTATTAAGTTTTGATAAAATGTACCTTTACAGTAATTTAATTATTTTTTAATTAAAAAAATCAATTAATATTTAAGGTTAATTTTTGTCAAAAATTAGTCTATGTTTAAGTACCGATTGTAACTCACTAAATGATTTCCTTGAGGTTTGTCCCTGTGCATGAGATAAAGCTCAAAACCATCAAAAAAAGAATTCTTCTATGTATTAATTGAAAAAGTAATTTTATATTTGTGTAATTACTCAATTTTCCTACAATTTTAATTTTGAAAAATATATCAAAATTAATAAAACAGTTATATTTTCTTAAGTGCACTAATAAGTTAAGGAATATATATACTATCAGAACTCAAACACTTATGGCTTTCGTCTTGGGTTGGAATTACACAGACTTGATCTTTTTATTTCAGTAACAAGTAAAGAGAAAAATAAATATTCACACGCACACACAAATAGTGATAACAGGTATATCATTAACACTTGTGTCCCCTCTGGTATGATGGAAGAGTTTTTGATAGAAGTAGAGGTAGAAATAGAAGTGGAACATCGAAACAACACGGAGGGGGAAATGATAACTGGAAGTGGGTGCTGGAAGAGAACATCGGAGGGGGAGGATAGGGGAAAAATATGGTCATATTATGATGGGTAAGATTGTCAATTAACAAAATAATTGAGGATAGAATGGTCATAAAATTTCAGTTCCTGAAAACTCATCCTAGCGTACCCAAGGAACCCAATTCCATCAAGGGGCATGGGAGTTGTTAGTTGAATACTACCTCCGGTCCTTAATATAAGACCCCGTTTGATTTTTATATTGGTCCTAAATATAAGACCCCAATTCATTTTGTCTCTCATATTTACTCAATTTTTTTCAAGATAGTCCTTCTAATAATTATTGTTTTAGCCAACACACTTGATTAATAATGATATTTTAGAAAAAAACAACACCTATTCATTACAAATAACTAACTTAACTAAGTTTCTTAATCTCTCCAAATTAGTCAACTGGGTCTTATAATTAGGACCGGAGGTAGTATCTTATAAATCACACCTTAAAATGCCCAGTGTTATAATACCTGATGCTTGACATATTTATTTTGTATTTCATATATGTTATGGTCCATTAATAGCTGCGATGTTTTTAACCAGATTGTTGTTGAGAAATAGGATTAGATGATTGTAGAAAGTGATTAGTTATATAATTAAGTTGAATCTAAGAGAAGTGATTGGTTGTAGGAATCATGTGCACTAAGTAAAAGGATTGAAACATTTCATTCAGCTGAGTGTCTTATAAGACAACCATTCAGCCTACAAAATATAAGGTAGATGACACTTACAAAATGTTCAAAATTAAAAACACTATTCAGTGTATCCATTGCCACAACCATCATGTTGGAGAAGCTGCATGTTGCTTGGTGTGAAGAATTGAAGCACATTATAACAAATGAGGCAGAGGATGATGATGATGTCCATCTCAACTGCGCCTCCATCTTCCCAAAACTACAGAGCCCCACTGTTCGGCGTTGCAATAAATTGGAATTTATATTTCCATCCACTCTTTCCGGAGGTCTCCAAAAATTAAAATATATAGATATCTTGAGAGCTCATAAACTGAAATATGTTTTTGGCGAACACGATGAAGAAGAGTGTCTATCAAATGAGTATGAAAATAATGAGCCTCACATCCATCTTCCAGCATTGGAATCACTAGAACTCTCAAGAGTACCAAATATGATCAGTATTGGCATCAAGAAACATCAACCAGAGTGCCCATCTCTACAAATTGTGGAAGCGCCAAAGGTACGTAACTATTTTTAATTCATTATTTAATAGCGTCTCAATCTTGCTCTGTTTTTTTTTTTATGAAAATATATTTTATCTATTTATTCTCTTTTAAAAGTTTGACTTTAAACTTTTATATATAACTATTATGGGTCATGCGGCTTCAGTTTATGTCAAAATGCGACTTATCGATATTTTTATGCATCTTGTATAAGGATTATTTTATACTCGTAGAAAACAAACACATATGACTTCCGTCTTGGTTGTATATAGTAATTCTGCTCATTTTCAATTTGTTTTTTTTTTAAAATTACTTTAGCTGGTACCTAACAGGAATCGAACCAAAACAATTTGATCTTTAAAATGCTCACACTCCTAATTTAATATTTATTATTTTGAAATATTTGTATTTATTTGATGTCTCCTTTTATGCTCTAGTGTTACGGATAAATCGAGACAGGGGAATCTCCTCTACTCTTTTTCAACTTTGTCATCATTATATAAAAACTAACGTCTTCTAAAATATTATTATAATCTTACCCAAAAAAAATACCTAAAGAAATTTAAACTATTAAATTTGATTTAAATAGTTCATAACTGTAGTGAAAAAGTGAGAAAAATTATGCTTTTATAATCATAGTTTACAAATTACAACTGAAAAATGATAAGATTAAATTTTAACCATTTTAACTTATTTATATATTTTTATATAAAATTTGAATAATATTTTTATAAAATTTTAAATCTATACCAATTGCTCAATTTTATATTCATGTAATTACTCGATTTTCCTACAACTCTAATATTGATTAATGAGATAAGCCTTTATCAAAATTAATAAAGCAATTGTATTATTTTTTTAAGTGCACTAAATTAAAGATTATATATATTATCCAATATTATAAATTGTGGGGTTACATGCACCCTAGCCGTTTTTGAATGGCCAAAAAGAAATTATGTTGGTTTAAAATTTGATGTCTATTTTGTACCTCAGAGTTTTAGATAAAGTGAAGTAATATATTAATTATTACACTAAATTTAATGTCAACTTCTCTAACTCTGATCTTTTTATTTCAGTTTAAATCAAAATGCAGTTTATCAATATTTTTATTTTGCACAAAGATTATATGTAATAAATTATATATTGTTAACAAAATATTTAAACATTCTCAAAACAATGAAGACTTTCATATAATTTTCCTATGGAGACATTTACAATTAATAATGTCAAAGTGATTCAGCTTTACTTCTATAAAGATTTCAAATTTGAATTTAAAATATTTCCCAAAAATAACAGTGTGTTTGTGTTTTGTGGGTGAATGTGTGTATATTTCATAAGCACAAAGGATAGAAATAGAGAACATTATTTTAAATTGTGTTATCAAAATAGATAAAATTATTTTAAATTTTGAATTGCTTTTTTGTGAAAACGTGTTGTAGGAAATTTAAGAAGCACATAGAAGATGTGAAAAGTGAGGGAGCAAAGGAATCTGAAATACAAGAGATTGTTAACATTGAAAGACCACTACTCACTCCAAGTGTGGGCTTCCAACATGTTCTAAACTTCAACAATCTGAAAAAAAATAACAGTCGTGAGAAACCAAAAGTTGAAGATTTTGTTCTCTATCTCTGCTTGCAGAAACCTATCACAGTTGTCTCAACTACATGTAAGCTATTGTGAGGAACTAGTTAATGTGGTTGAAGATGATTCTAATAATTGTCATCATGACATGAACTATAGCTTCATTTTCCCAAAACTGGAGAGTCTAAGTATCAATAATTGCAACAAGCTGGAGTTTATATTTCCTCTGTCTCTTTTTGGTGCTCTTCAAAAATTAAAATCTTTGAACATCTGGAGTGCTACTGAGTTGAAATACATTTTTGGGAAATATGATGATGGAGATCATTTATCAAATACTACAATTCATCTCCCTGCTTTGGAGACACTACAACTTGTAGATGTACCAAAGTTAATCAACAATATTGGTGCCAAAAAATATCACCTCAGCTTTCCGCCTCTACAAAGCATTTATTTGGGGGGTCTTCAAGAGTTCAACGGAAGGTTTTTTCCAGATTTTGTGGCTTATTTACAAGGAATACAATTGAATGTGAAAGCTCCAAAGGTAACACTTTTGACTCCTTGTTCTATGATCTGCATATTGCTCTGTTTATTTGGATTGCTTAGCATTTAAACTTGAACATCAAGAACATATTTTCATGCTTAAAAAATTTTCATGCCAAGACATGAAATAACTAAATTTTCATACATAGAAATTTATAATTTAGTTTTCACTTATAAAAATTTGCTTTTCATCAATAAATATGTGTGCACGCGTGCCTTTAATCAAAATCTTACAGAAGATGTTAACTTAAAAAAAACAATGACCTTAAAAATTTAAATATTTCTACTAAATAGTTTAAAAGAAAGCTGCGCCATATATATTATTTTTTTATTTTACTTTTTCTTCTCGGAAATTTTCTTCTCATTATAGCGGGATCGCTTAGCATTCAAACTTGAACATCAATAACACATTTTTCATGCTTAAAAATTTTTCATGTCAAGGCATGAAATTACTGAAATTTTTTTGGCCAAAAAAAATTACTGAATTTTCATTCATAGAAATTAATAATTTATTTTTCATTTATAAAAAAATTTCTTTTTTTCATCAGATTCTTACAGAATATGTTAACTGAAAAAAGCAATGACCTTAAAAATTTTAAGAATTTTGCTAAATAGTTTAGAAGAAACCTGCACCATATACAAGTTTATCTATAGAAGAAATTAACTATGGATTAATTAGCTTCTCACGTATATATAGATTTTATGATTTCAAATCGATATAATTAGGTATAATCAACATGTATGTGTTTTTAACTTGTAAGCATTCCAGGCATCATTAGATAAAGTTTCTCTTTGTATAACTGAATGCATAGTGAGACATCTATACATTAATAACAGTACTGAGACTATTCACAATTTGTGAATGTGGTAATTTGAATTCATGCTGAAATTTTGAATTGATTTATTTTTACTAGGACCTAATGAAAATTATCAAGGATATGCATAAGCTAACAACTCTTGACATAAGACACTCCAATATAGAAGAGGTTCTTAATTTGGAAGGAGTGGAAATTGAAGGTCCATTCATGACTTTAAGCATTGCAACGATGCGGTTGGAAAATCTAAGTGAGTTAAGGCACACATTCAGGGGTCCCAAGTATATTTTGAGCCTCCCCAATCTTCAAGAACTAAACATCACAGCATGTAAAAAGCTAACAGCAATATTATGTGTCTCAGTAGTGAAAAACCTCCCACAATTATCCTATTTGAGTATAAAAGAATGTGACGAATTGGTTGACATCATTGGAGAGAGTGATGGGGATCATTTGCATCAACTTTATTTCCCAGGGTTAAAGAAAATTTACATCAAGTGTTGTGATAGCTTGAAATTCCTTTTCTCTATCTCAACATGTGGGATGTTTCCAAAGTTGGAGGCCTTGGAAATAAAAGAAGCCTCTGAGTTAGAGCAAGTGTTTATATACAAACAAGATGATATGCGGAAGATGGCAAAAACGGAAGAAGTATTTCCAAAGCTATCAAGTGTAACACTTGAAAAACTCCCAAGGCTTATTTCTATTTGTGAGGGGATTGATTTTAAGGATATGCGATATTGTAGAGTGGAAGATTGCCCAAAATATCAAGGTACAAATCCAGAAAAAATCTTTTAATAATTGCTACTGTTTTTATGAATATTAATGAGATTGAAAATTCTATTGCAGAAACTAATCAAATCCAAAAAGAGCCTCAAAATGGGAATTCAAAAAATCAGGCAACAACAAGAAGTGTTTTGCCTGAATTTGCAGAGGTATATATATTAGACTAATCATCAAAAGAACAAAAAAAATCAGTATTTTTTTTGGTATTTTCTTTTACTAGTGAATTTAACCTGTCCATAAGTTGATTACTGTAACTAACTTACTTATTAATTATGGTGTTGGTTAGAGCTCAGAGGAAGCAATGAAGAGAAGTGTTGAAGAAGTTGGATCATCAATGGTACATCACCATATCTTTCTACACACACAAGAGCATAGTTCTTCCGCACCAATATAAAACTGATAGCATGTTTAGTACGTCTTCCAGTACCAATAGAACAAATGTAAACCATATATAATCTCAACTTTAGTTTGATTTTTTATAAACTAACATATTTTTAGGAAAGGAATTGAACATTGAACACAAAAAAAAAAAAAATCCATGAACTAATGAAGTTCCACCAGGTGAAATACCTCGTTACATCTTTTGCTGTAATTCAGAACTATAAAGAAACAGAGAAGAGAAGGAAGTTGGCAGAGTAGCTCCTAATCCTTCTTCAAAGATAAGTTCA